TCGGGTTTTCTTTTGTAGTCAGATTAGCTTTCCCTCACTGTCCTAGCCAGCTCCATTTTGTTTGTTATTTTCTTTCCTTTGGCACCACTCTAGTTCCTTACCCTTGTTATCACTCGCTTCCTAGTCCCTCACCAAAACCCCCCCTGCTTCCAAAAGAATTATCCTAAATGTTACACCCCTTTTCCCCTAGACACTTGGGGTCGTAACAGTCACCCTTTCTTCCTGGCTCAGCATTGAGGGTTTGGATCTCTTGAGACCCGCCTAACACCAGGTCGCCCCACATCCGTGGCCTGAGGGCATATGTTTCTATCCCGACATTGTCTGACCTCCTGAGCCCGGGCTAACCCGTTTTGCTGCTACGCATTGGGTCTTTATTGCTCTCCTGACCATTCCACAGCTTGCCCTTTCCGACATCTGTGACAATAGTATAACATTTGTTTCACCTTTTTTACTAAATCATATTTGTGGAAATGCATCTCTGTGGTCTACTTATTTTTTAAGCACAGGACTTACATTACAAAATTTTAAAATATGTGCTGTACCTCGCTGCCGAGTGTGAAGCGGCTGGGATGAGAATCTGCACCTCCAAGACTGAGGTCATGGTTCTCTCCCAGAAAAGAGTGGATTGCTCTCTCTAGGTGGGGGGGAGCAGCTGCCCTTAGTTAGTGGAGGAGTTTAGGTATCTCGGGATCTTGTTCACGAGTGATGGAAGAGTGAGATCGACAAGGGGATCGGGGTGGCATCAGTTGTTTTGCTGGTATGCACCAGTCTTTGGTGGTGAAGCGGGAGCTGAGTTTGAAGACAAAGCTCTTGGTTTACGGGTGGATCTACGTCTCTGTCCTCACGTGGTTATGAGCTCTGGGAAATGACCGAAAGAACGAGACCTCGGATACAAGTGGCAGAAATGAGGTTTCTCCGCAGGGCTGCTGGGCTGGGTGACAGGGTGAGGAGCTCGGCAATCAGAGCCTCAGAGTAGGGTTGCTGCTCCTCCAGATAGAGAGAATTGGATATCTCATTAGGATGCCCCCCAGATGGCTTCCGCTGGAGCTGTTCTGGGCACGTCCCACTGGGCGGAGACCCCGTGGCAGACCCAGGACACACTGGAGGGATTATATCTCTCGGCTGGCCTGGGATCGCCTGGGGATCCCCCAGGAGGAGCTGGAATCTGTTGCTGGGGACAAGGAAGTCTGGGCTGATCTACTCGGCTTGCTGCAACCATGACCCTCACCAGGAAAAGTGGAGTGAAGATGGATGGATGAACTGTACTTTCTAACCCTTCTTCCAAAGACTAAATATTCAGTTGATACGACAGCATCACCACAGGAACATCACAGAGAAATTAACTGCATTCATAACTGAAATAGGGTGGCACAATGGTTAGCATTATATCTCTAACCTGCTGCCTCAGTCCTGGGGCCCTGGGCCCAATTCCTGGGGCGCTGTCTGTGAAAAGTGTGGTTTCGGGTGTTTTTTCTCGGGGTGCTTTCGTTTTCTCCCACAGTCCAAAGACATACTGGTATGTTAATTGGCTTCTGGGAAAATTGGCCCCGGGTGTGAGTGTGTGCATGTTTGTGTCTGTGTGCCCTGCAAGGGACTGTTGCTGTTGTCAGGGTAGGCTCTGACTTTCCTGTGACTCTGTATTGGATAAAGCAGTCAGAAGATGGATAGATGGACAGACACAAATATTGTACTTGTAGCAGACAATTAGTGTTTAAAATTCACGTTTGTGAGGCAAAAGATCAAAGAAAAAAATGGCAAAAACAGAGTCAAAACTTCTGCTAGCACACATAACAGGTGAAAATTAACAGGATCACAATAAGCAAAACGAAAAGAAAATATGTCAATTGATATAAGATAAGTAGACATGTAGACATTTATTTACATGTCCACAAATGTAACAGATAGTTTTTGCCATAAATGTGATAGATCTTTTTTAGATCATCTGTAAAGAAAATGGCTGAAGTTTGTGAAAGAGGGCTATGGACTACTGAAAATACAGGTTTTCTGTTAGAATAAATACATGGTGACACCTTGTCAGTATTATAAAATGAACTTGTGCCCATACAATATACCCATACAGCAAAATTACTGCTTGGTCTACAGTATTTTATGATTCGTATTGAAGATATTGTGGCATTTTGCTTTCAATCCAGATTGTTCACATTCAGTTCAGATAGGTAATGGGGTACATTAAGGAACCTTTTTCTCTCCTCTCAGGTTCATGGCCTAAAGCGTAGCACATGTAATTTAAAGTTTGAAGAGAGTGAATAAAGCAAGTGCTGTGACCCTGTCTGTACTGTACCCATTCAGTAAAAATAAAGTTTGTGCCACTGTGACCTTCCCGGTTCCACATGGGCTCATGCCCTCGCTGCTCCACCCCACCGGTTCGTCTCGCAACATCTGGGCATGATCCCGGGTCTCCGGCATAACGCAAAAGGGATCTCGTCAAATGAGCTAAAGGAGACCTCCCAACTCAGGCGGCTGAGGTCCCTGCTACGCGCAGGGAGGGCGATGACGTCACCATGCCCAAACTAGCTCCGCTACACCATTACCAAGGTGGCTCATCATGACAGAACTCATCCTGGTTTCTGCACATTAAGCATACTAGTGGGTGCATGACTCTTGGGACACCAGTCCATCACAGGCATCCCCCCAGCAATGCTGGTCCCTCTTATACAGCTGGGTGGACTGGGGCAACTGGGGCAAAGTACCTCCCTAAGATTACAACAGCAGGGCCTGCAGTGGGAACTGGAAACCAGGGCCTGTCATTTCTTAGTGTTGAGGCCTAGTCACTATACTAAGCCACCCCCATAGTCATGAGGACAATAAACTAATTGATCAGAACTTAGAGAACACAGATGCAATCTGAGAGACATTAAATTCCTAAATTCTGATCCATCACCACCATCTTATTTGCAAAGAGCTAAGAAATGCATAGCTAGTGTATTGCATTATCCTGTGGAAAAGGCAGGAATATGGATAGAAAAAGGAGTGTAAACTTTAAAACCTGCTAAAGGTATAAATGTGGGCTCAAGAGAGCTCAAAATACTTCTTCAGTATTCATATATGGTAACTATAGGCTGTAAATGCAAATGGCAAAATATTGATACATCCATCTTGAAATCAGTTATATGAATGTAAAACTCCAATTGCTACAATTCTGCATCAGATAAGATGCGAGATGGCAGCAACTTAATTTAATAAGGTCTTTAAAGAGCTAACTTTAAGGGGATAAGGGGATTTGAGGTGAGTGCTCACCTTTGAAACCATAACAACATTATTCATAAAAACAGGAAAGGGGTAACCTGCTTTGATCAAATTCCATGAATATTTTAATTCTATTGAATAATTAGACTTATTGATTGTTGATAATATTTGTTTTATTTCTAAGAGTGAATCAAAGTGAATAATTCTAATAAACAAAATAAATATTGCACATTTTACGCCATTTGTGAAAGTTAAAGAGAAAAAGGAATGTCTTTTGTTTGTTCTTGTTAGATGTACAGTACATTGTTTTCAGCAATTGTTTTCCAGCATATCAGAAACATAATACTCTGCCATCTTTTCTTTTTCAGGTGCCTTTCCTCTTCTCTCCAGCTCCATGGAGACACTGAATGACACCGTGACTATTCAGTTCATTTTGGACAAAATCACAGACACCCTCATCCACTTCATCGCGAAATCAGGCCTACCTCTGCCGGAGCAGTCCAGGAGACAGGCTCAGCTCCTCCTCCTTCTCTCCCACATCCGTCACATGAGGTAAAACACAATGTCCTTGGAAAGAGACATTCATAAAACTATCAGATTTAAGATAGACTGTGGAGCCACAAAGCTGCTGTCACTAATGAAGGAAAATTTGCTAGCCACATTTCTGTGCTTAAGTTAAATCCATGAAAAGTCAGCTATAGGATTCGTTATAAATTGGATCAATAAGTTAATAAACAGCAGCTTCGAAGTGCAATGCGTGAAGCTGGTTCAAATTAAAACATTTTGTGTAAAATTTATAAATTTATTTTCTTTAAAGCAGGGTTTAAGTTCACACACACTTTATCCATATGCTTGTGGGAGTTTTTTATTGACTTTTTATCTAGAAACTGAATTTTCCAAACTCCACTCAAATGAAACTCCAGACATGGTAAAAATAGACCCAGAGGCAATAGGTTCCATAATCTTGAACTTAAAAGACAATGTTGTTTGTTTTAAATTGATTTTGATAAAAAAGTCATTAAAAGTCATTTCTATTATAGGGATGGCCACATACCATCTGTTTGTCCAGAATTGCTACTTTTGTTTATATATTTTGCCTCCACACTACTACAAGCCAGCTGAATTGAATATGTTTTCTTACATTCTGTTTCTCTTTGCTTTGGTTATCATGGCAATTTCTTTCAAAAAGTAAGAAACAGGAAGTGGTTGGAGGTACCAAAGTGGCAGTGGAAGAAAAACCCTGGTGGACCATCAGAAATTAAATACGAGAATAAAATATCACGCTAAGTTTGCTATTCTTGGCTTGTCTCAACAGCAACAAAGGCATGGAGCACTTGTACAGCATGAAATGCAAGAATGTGATCCCTCTGTATGACTTGCTGCTGGAGATGCTGGATGCCCATCGGCTTCGGTCTCCCAGGAGGACAGAGCTGGCCCCGGAACAGGGAGACAGTGTATCCACTTCAATGTCCTTTGCGGTCAGTTCTGGGCTGAATGTGCAGTCCTAAAATGGCCACGGAAGAAACTTAATCCACATTTTAAGACCCCAACACCACACTACCTATCGTGATATCAGAAGGTGAGGTCACCCTGACATCCCCTCTTCTTAGTCGACGTCACCCTCACACACTTGGTCTCCGTGGTTGGCTATCTTGGAGTCTCAGCACAGTGATCAAAACCATATAGTCACAGGCAAGGATCCTATGTTTTTAAAAAAAAAAAAATTTCTGAAATAATCTTGCTTTTGAAGAACAGGGCATTCTGATGAGGTGTTGTGCGCCCTGTTATTTGGACATCATTAATACTTAGCTTACAAAAAAACGTATAGAGCATGAGTATATTGAAACCTGCAAGCAAACAGGTCTGTTAGTATTTAAAAGGGTTAATCGATGCTGGAAAACAGTGATTCAAAGGATATGCCTTTGGTTTTGCTGTATAGGATAAGGTATAAACATAGACTTTTGAAACTCGTTTTGACATCAGTTTTATACCATTCATATTCAGTTTGCTTGCAGTGGACTTCGGTTTTTTGCAACATGTAAGAGCGGCCATGAGTGCCAACCAAAACATAACCTGGAATGGGTTCTGAGGTAAATGCATGAGATCCTGACAGAACTAAAGGTGTTTTCATTGAAACCACACAACTAATAGTGAAGACCTTGGTATGTTGCTTTACAGTGATCCTATGGTTAAGGAAAACTGGCTTGTGTGTTATTAGGAACTTCGTAATTTAAGTTCGAGCTATGTCCGAGAGTCACTGGATGCAGCCCTGAGCACTTTAATATACCACCTTGGGACCTGTGTTTCTGAAGAGATACAAAACCAGGGTGTTATTGAAAGTGATTATGCAGCAGCAGTTGTTGATGCATAATTCACCACCTGTTGTCTGTAAATCACTATGGATAAATGTTTTGCTTAATGAATAATAAGTATTATTTTCTTAATTTCTAAAAAATTACAACTAATGAAGGCTTAATCCACAGAGCACAAATGCTCCTCCCTACAAGAAAACAATATTGTTGTGATTACGAAAACAGGTCTGATCTGTTCAGATATCTACACACAGTACAAAAATTTCTACAACAAAAATGAAGTTTCAGTAGTTTGGTTAGAGCCTACAAAATGCGAAAGAGAGAGTGAGAGAGTGCATTTGGAGTAACTTGCCTGGCTAAGGGAACGCCTACATCTCCCCAGAAGAATTTTTAAAAACATCAATGTACTGTACTGTTCGAAATGCTAAACAAAGAGCAAGCCAGCTTGGATGTAGTTATGCTGGAACCGAGCAGAATTTTAGCTAAGAATAGGTACATGTAATGAATGAAAGAACATGTATGACACAGACGTGCACCCACAACAAGTGCGGTTATAACCTTGGGAGGGAGAGGAGTTGAAGGCTGGTGTGGACCTTTTGGACACCAGCTGAAAGGGGGGGTGCCTGAATCCATTGTTGTAGCTGCCTAGGCCCAAGCGCTAGGGATAGTGTTTGGTGGACGAGGTGGCCCAGATCCAGTGCAGACTGCCTCCTTAAGTGCAAGTCAATGACTAGGAGGTTCTGCAGTGGACAGAAAACAGGGACTGGGGACAAAACAACATATATAATGCGGGGTTGTAGTTACAGTGGGTTGGATATTTGACTAGAAATGGAGGAAGAAGAGGGGAGGGAACTGAATGGAGCAAGCAAAAGTAGGATAAGAGAACGGGAAGGGGGGGTGCTGCTCGGTGATTCTAGAGACTTGCTGACATTGGGAGCCCTGAAAAAATACAGACAGTATAGTGGGTACAGAGCCACTTTTTTTGAGGGGAGCATTGAAGTTGAAGAGGTGAGAATGACTCTAGTTCTTGATGAATGCAATGATGGCAAGATCCTGGCATCGGCAAATATGAGTCACGTCTATCTGTGATGCAGCAAGTGCTAAGGGAAACAGGGTGCAAGTTTTATATACATAGATAACTAGAAGTGTTCGAGATTAGCAAGATAACTGAGATTAGGAAGATAATCTTCTTCCCAAATTTCTGTTATAACTCTGTTATAACATTTGATGGAGGAGACTGATTTACAGTTATTCTTTGAAATAAGTTTACTTTATGTCATGGGATTATAATGGCTTGTCATTGCAATTTATTTCAGATAACTTTACTTCAAAGTGCCTAAGGATTGGCAGCGTTCATCACAATTTAAATAAAACAAAGCCAAGCTACTTCATCGTTCACAAAAATTCAGACCTTCTCAAGCTGTGTTTGAAGTGTTATTCAGAAAACAGAATTCGTCTTCACATTTTTTTAAACTTTCAGGAATCGTTTTAAAATTTGTATTGATAAATATCTGACAGAAAGAGATGGTTCTTGTATTTCACAGTTAAAAAATAGATGGGAAATTTAAATTTCAGTTTCATACAGTATGCTTCATATAACAAAATTATCCTGGAATCTTCAAACTGAGAACTGTTTACAAAGAGGCTTGTGCATATATGGAACAAGGCACCCAGCCATGCCATCAATGTTGATACCCCTGGCTTCTTTCAAGAAACAGATGGAGGAGATCCTTGGATCAGTTACAGTTGCTACTAGCAATCAAATGACCTCGATGGGCCAAACAGCCCCCTCTCATTTGTAACTTTTCGTATTTGTATTCATGGTACTGCCTGTTCATACAGCTAGGGAGACATTATTCAAGAAACACAAGTGCCATGTAAATACAGTAAGTGACTTTTTAAAAGGGATAAGGAATGTACCAAAGAAAGTAAGAAAGTGTCATATCATTGCACTATTGATTTTTATTGCTTTTATATTGTGTTTATTTTAAACACAAAAATGTTTTCTTCAAATGATCTGTCAACATGCAAAACTGCAAAACAAACAAACAAACAAAAGAAACATTTTGTTTACAGTGGGAATGATTTAAAGTTTGTAGTTTCCTTATCCTTGATGATCCAGCAGGTTACTTCAAACATAGTCCATCACAGGCTTAAATTAAGCAAACCTCCCAGACAAAGACACTAACTGCTTTATGTTTTCAAACATCTGTCATAAATACCAAAGGCTACTTCTGTGAGTTTTTGCTTTATACTGTTTTTTTTAAAAGGCTTAGCTATGGGCTCATTACATTCTTTTGTCAAGACAGGATTTGAAATGGAAAAATGTTAGCATTAACAAAAGAAGTAGTGTAGGTTTTGAAAGTATGCAATCCTAGGCTGGAAAGAGAAGAGCACAAAATCATATTCCATTGTAAGGTTTTGTCTTGTTTTGTAAATTGCAAGGCCATATTGAAACGTGCAGTATATAGAATGTATATTGTTAAGTGATGTAATCAACAGTACTTAGACTAAATTCAATACTTTGAATATGCACTAAAGTGCACGAGCACTAAGATATGATAAAAGGAGCAGACAGATTTTAAAAGCACCTTATTTATGTTTTCTGCTCATCAGAAATATACCATTAGGGCAGACCTGGTAAGTGGCAACTGGGAGCTGAGGAATCGCTCCCCATTTCAAATTAACAAATTTACAAATTGCCAAAATTCAGTATGAAAGTGCCTGGAAATACATCAACATGCTTTAAATGTTCATGAAAAGCTCCTTGGAAGCACAGGATCAGCCTCTTACTAACAGATTTTTAGACATGTGTCAGATTCACACTGTTTTAGTGCATACTCATGGGCCAAAATTTTAGGAACACTAAATGACTAACACTTTTGGCCTGTAAGGGAGGTAAGAACAGCTTGAATTCTAATGTATTCAATTCTGTCTATTGCACATGGTTGTGAAGTGTGTGAAGCCATTATTTACTGTACTTTCTAGCAGGTTTGTATTAAGTTTTGGTTGTAATGAAAGAAGTGGTGAATGTGATTGAAATGCACATTCCACTGGCTCACTAGTTTTCAATTGGATTGAGATTAGGGGATTGTTCTGGCCAAACCACTGAAAAAACAACATGGTGCTTGCCCACCAAAGGGTTGTTTAAAATTAACTAGAACTAGTTCCTAATATTTTGGCCATTGAATGTACAGAATGTATACAATTAGAAGCCAAAAATGAATCAGGAGTCTGAACATGGAGATACAGTAATCTAAACACTAAACACAAATCTGTATGTCTGTGTTAGTCAGCTAGTTCTTGTGTTTCTGCCTGATACAAGAGACAAAGATAGCATGGGCATTAAGGTACTGTAGATAGCCAGACAATCCATATTTTTGTGGGCTGGATAATTGTAATTATATAATTCCTTTCCTTATGCATATATGTGTATAGATATACTGAATGAAATTTTCACCCACCAAGTCATGTCCTACCATGAATACTGAAAAATACAAATTGAAGCTACTGTTGCAAAAAAGGGGATTTTTCTGGGAACCATACAGTCTAATTCTTCTTGTCTTGTTTCACAAACCTGTGATGAAAGTCCGTGTTTATCTGCTGTAAATAAAAAATATTCTATAGGTTGGTTAGATCCTAATGAATGTGAAAGAGGGACCAAATGTGTACAGAGCATTTTGGTGTGATTGTCCTAGCTGTGAGGCTCGCACACTTCCATAACACCTATGTATATCTCACCTGAATGAGAGACATACTGCATATCCATAGGTGAGCAGAAGTGTGCAAAATTAGGATCTAACCCTGCTCCTGAATGTCTGTTATGGACTCCAATAAATGTATTATACAGACCCGCTTCTGAACAGAAAAAAGTGCCCAAGGAGAGGATTTTATACCTTCTGCAAATGTTGATTTTCATTTTTCTCACATCAAGGGTGAAAGGGTTTTTTGTTCTAGTTTAAGTTCTTGTGGGGAAACAACACCATGGCACAGTGAAGCTCAGCTTAAGTTCGCTTCCCGCTTCATGATATCTGAGGATATAAAATGAATCAGACCCTCTTCATCTCAATATTCTTAAGGTGACAAGAAATAATGTTAAAAGGAAGGAGATCTTGACGAGGCCTTATAAATGTATGGCTAAGATAGGTTATTAAGTGAAAAGACAATTCCTTCTTAACCTGCTCTCAGCTAAAAACAGAAGACTGTTGATGAAAGGCATTCATTGCATAAAAACAAACTCTTATGTGAAATGCCAGGCTTCTCTCTTGTAAATGTTCCAAGTGTTTACTTACCTGTTTGCTTGTTTATGGTGCCTTTAGCAATCTTGTTGTAAACACGATCCTTTGTAGGTAGTGCATTATGTTCATAACTCGAAATAGCTGTAGGATGTATTGACTTTCACCCATAACTTCATCAGAGCTCATATTTTCTAAACCTTTTTATGTCCCTTTTTTTGGCTTTGAAACAAGTTTATTTGGTAGTGTGACTTTTTCCCATGAGTATTTCAAGAAAAATATCCGATACAAACTGTGAAAACAATTCTGTATTCCCAAAAAGCTGGAGAACAGTTTACATCCTAAGAATATGAATTCAGTCAAGAATGCACTGGTGCGCTCTGCTCTCCTCAGATCTACTTTTATAATTAACACAGCGATTAAAGCAAAGATCTGTAGCCTAAATAAAATAATGTAGGTACTGTAGATGGGAACTGTACATGTAATAACTGATAATTAGTACAGTATGCTTCCCCTTGCTGAAATTTGTGCTACAGAAGTAATGTTAGTAGCTATTTCCAGAAGGCAGTCTGTAAAGTGGAATCATCTTATCCTTTTTAAGTTCTAATTTCTTACAATATGAAATGCTTACTGTAACTTTGTAACACTATTTAGTGCATCCATTTTTTTGTCTGTTCATCAAGCTAGTTCAATTATTTTTTACATAATATTTTGAAAACATGAAAGTGTTTCCAGGTGTGGTGGTGTTGGCTGCCTCAAAGCTCCTGCGTCCTGTGCTCAATTCTGAAATGGGGGGGGGGGGCTTCTTGCATGTTCTCTCCAAGTTCCTCTGAGTGCTCCGGTTATCTCCCATCTTCCACCACCCACAGGCATGATGGGTACATTTGATTGGCTATTTAAAATCCCCCTTTCTCTGCAGCTGTGTGTTGGACTTGTGTCCCATCCCAGTGCCCTTATGCTTCTGGGATAGGCTCTAGTTTGTTCCCTCCAGGAGAAGCAGCTTTCTGATAATGGATGGGTAAACTATCTAGCAAAAAAAAATCTTTCTGCTGTCAGAAGCCTTATTTGGTGCCGTTACAAATCTGAAATGCCATAGTTAAACAGTACTTAATAACTAGTGGCTTAAGTGTCCTTAATAATGTTACTCAAGCATTTCTGGCTCCATGTTTTTAAAAAAAGACCTACCTGTTTCTATTACAGTGTTTTCCTACCTACTGCAATTCACTACCTGTTGATAATACAGATCGAAAAAAAGTCTTGTAATTGCAAAAACTGCCATGTGTGCTTTTTTAACTGCTCATTGCATTCTGTTGTGAAAAATAGCATCTTATTTTGCTTCATGCGCGGTGTGTGGGGAAACGCAGATCTTTTGAACCTTTGTAAACAAACACTGTACTACCTTAAATTTAAAGGCAAATACTGTATGGGTATTTTAAAATGCTTCAAAATGATGCACTACTGTGAGTAAAAATAAAGGAGTTTGAAAGATGTTAGAAATGTGCTTATTTACAGAAAACAGAAATCTTAATGTCATTTGTCATGAAGACCATCCCAAAGGCAGAAACAGAGAAAGATCTTCAAACAGATCCTGAAAATTTATAGCTCTTTTGCAGCCATAACATATGAAATTCCTCTGCCCTAGCACTGTATTAAATTCTTCAACAAATTATAGGGGAACATCAGAGTTAGACATCAGTCATGATAAATATTTTTATATCAGCCAAATGCAAAAACTATGCTTATGGTTCACAAGAAATAATAAGTTTTTATGTCAGGGAATAAAAGAGAAGGTAATTTCTGTGCCTTCTTGTGGCAAATGTCATACACAATAAAAACACAGAACTATACTTTTTCTGTACATTCATTTAAAGACAAGCCCATTTACATTCACTGACACATCTAGGAGCTCTGAGATCCTCATATGGATTTATTTTTATAAATTGGTAATGGCAATTTATAAAATACTTGTATTTTAACAGTCGTAAAGGAAACAGAAAATGCATAAAGAAATGACTTCAAGTGTTTGACTTATATTAGTCCAGATTTACAGTTTTTGAGGGTTACTGAACATACACACAGAAAGTATAAAAAAACATGGCTGCCCATGAAAACTTGGTGGTATTGTTTTTTTGGGAAAACAACGCAATAACCCTGTCTCATCCTGAGGATTCTGATGTCACAGGCATACCATACATTCAACATCATCCTTTTAAAGTATGACATTAAATACATCACATGATTTGGGATAATTTTCCTGAATTATAAATTATTCATTACAGTTGCATTGTGTACACTACCTTCTCCGTAGTAATTGGAAATATTAAAAACACACTATGAACGTTTGTTTTCAGTATACACTAGGCTCTACCATTCTACCCTACTGTTAATTCATACTGGCAGAACAATGGTGTTTTCATTTTATATAGGAAGGCTTGGTATTTTTTTCAGACATTAAAAAAAGAAGTCTTCTCAATGCAGTCAACCTATATAAGGTTGGGTGTATTCACAAATCTTGCCTTTTATGTAAATAAATGTATAGAAAGTGTTCCTCACATGTCTACCTGACAATTTTTAGCAATAGCACTCCAAAATAAATAAACACCACCAAAAAGTATTTCATATTGTATGTGTATTAAAAGCAAAAGAATTTCTTTTAAAAAAAGTCAGCTTTAGCAAACTGTACATACATAAATACCCTTATTCATTATTTAATTTGCTTTACATCATCTCACTAAACACCCCGGGGATCTTATTTCTTACATCCAGTTATCATCATATTTAAAAAGTGCCTTTCACATTTACATACTCTTCACTTGACTATCTTTGACTGGATTTTCAGAAGCAAAGATTATAACAGCATGCCAAAAAAATAAATGTAAAAAAATAATTGCCATATAAGCTATTTAAAATGTTATTTTACAAATCATTCAGCTTTTTTTGGTGAGGTCACAGGCGTTTTGTTCTACTTAAAACACTGAAATAACAATACTGTTTTTGACTTATAAAGGTTTAAAACACACCTGGACCATGCAGCAAAACTAGAGCTGTACCTTACACAGAGTGGCCACATTATTATTCTAGATTTTGAAATCGACCCATGTATTATTGGATACAGTCAGACATTATTAAATATTTGTCTTTCAGGTCCAAGAGGATATAGGCTCATTCTTTTCTTTCTGTGTCTTATGCTACATCCAAAGATCAATGCCGACTTGAGTAACAAAAATAGCAGCTGTATTTACCTGTCTGGGACACAGCACAAACAACCCGGACTACCAACACAGGTGTCTCGATAAAAATGATAATATAAAAAAAAAAGATGACAATGATACTATTTAACGGTAAAGTAATAAAAAAAACTCCTTCAGTCTTTTTCACACGTGGGTTCATATTGGAGGAGGCCCATTGGTGTATCTCAACATGGGATGGAAGGACCTAGCGAAGTTATTGGAGAGGGTGCAGCTGTAGTCTTCCTCCGTCATGGGCACCAGGCAGGCCAAGCCGATCAGGAGGAGCAGGAGGAGCTGCAGCGGCAGGGCGGCCCTCAGGACGCGCAGGAAGAAGGACTGAGAGCGTGGCGCCTCAGAACGGGAAGAACCTAACCCACCTCTTCTGTGAGACCTGGGCGGACAGTGAGAAACAAGACAAGAGCCCGTTCTTCAGATTCATCCTGGGCTCATTCCCCAAGTTCTGTACGAGCTGTTCCCGCAGCAGAAGACTTCCTAAACCCTGTGCTTTTCTTCTTTTCTATTTCTTCCATTTCTTTTCTTGTGCTTGTGCTAAGTCTGTAATGAAGGCTCATCATGTTGACTGCTGTATAGGTTTCAGTCATTAGCTCCTGAATTGTACTGACCACACTTGCAGTGTTTCACGCAGGTGAAACAGCACGGAATGCACAATGGTACAGTATATAAAACATGGATATTTGGGAATCCACCCTCCTAATGATGGCTTTCCAAAACTCGCTAGTTTAGCATTTTGCAGAAAGCCAGCGCTTGAGAGCAGCTTAGTGGAAGACCCCTTTAATGTAGACTGAGTCGCAGAAACAACAGAGCCACCTGTATACTAGGAACCATCTCAAATACAAGCTGCACTTTGCTGTGCACAGTGGGACAATATGACCATGGTTTAAATATAAATTGGAAATCCAATTGTAATTTCAACCATAGCAAACCTTGATCTTGCATGGAAACAACAAAGGAATTCTTTCTGGTAAAACGTTTCATTATGCACTATTCCTGTATGTAGGAAACCATAATTTTGTAGTGCTTCTCCATGGCACACACCTTACAAATATTTCCTGTCGAGTATTTCCCCCTGTCTATTTAAACTTTTTTCTATAATAGACTTCTTGTCTATTTAAATTTCTTAATAAATTATTAATATAAACATTTTTATAATAGATAGTTGAATCAGTGTTGTAAAACTGTGGTAGTTTCCTACTATCCACAATAAAAGTCTAGAAAAATCATGCCAGATTTCCCCCAAGATGTACTGTACCATAACAGACTTCACAGTCTTTACACCGTGAAAATCAGATACTTAAAAACAAAGCAAATGTTTATTGCTTAATCCAAAAAAAGACATGGTGCCTTTAAACCACAGCAGGGTAAAATCAAAAGATAAAAATACCCTCATTGTTTTGGAACATCCTCCCTTTGTTAGTTTAACTGCCAAAAAGTCACCTTTTTTTCTGCTAAAAAACTGTCCTGGGTTCTGAAATCCTGTACCGTCTTGTGACTGCCAAAATAACTTTTATTGTTGGACTAAGCAAAGTGGTTTAGTTCCTTCATGTTACCTATTTTGTTTTTAACTGGGTTCATTAAACCGCTGCTGAAAGGATACGGCACACTTAACAGCATCGCAGTGTACTGTGTGAAAGTTCAATAACACTGTTTCTTAGATTGCCCATGAAAGCCAGGGTCCAAGAGTTAATGAGGCAAAACCAGGAACACGAGGGACACATAGTGTTCTTTAATTGCTTTCTCACTAAGTAGGCTCCTTTGAAATCAGATATGCTTTTCTTACTTTTTAAAAACCTTTCTAACGAAAGAATGCTGCACTCTGATGCAACAGAAATATGTTATTTCTGTACCTCCAGAATTTAGGAAACGCTAATGACAGGAATGGGCTATTTAAGCTTTTCTTGGTTTGCAGTAGTGAAACCACAGGGCTTTATTACTTTACTTCTAATTCACAATCACTTACAGGTTTAGGAAAATTTCCTATAGCTATATAGGCACATCCTACTTCTTTTTCAAGATCAATAAAATGTGGTTAAGACACTTCTATGTGAGCTGTGAAATCTGGATTTGTGCTCCTACGTTTTGTGCATTTACTTTGACTTCCGTGTGTGCAAATATATTGAGTACACACAGTATGTAAGAACTAAAATGTTCTTACATTTACAGTATGCAGCTTTTGTAAGAAAGCTAGCACTATTCTTAATTTTACAAACACACTCTTCTAAAAATTTGCTGATGGAGAGGAAGTACCTACTTCACAGGAAACAGAGAAATCTAGCAGTGGAGACCCAGAAATCTCCCACAATGTGAGTCTGAAGTGAAAAGATTAACGTCACTCTCAGCATGCTAGACTCCCAGACCTTTGAACCACCTTATCACAAACATGTACTCCAAAATATATCTTCTTAATAAATGAATATACACTTTTATCAAAATGTGACACTAGAATAGTGTTTAATAGCCATTGCATCACATTGAAACAGTCAGTTATTTGAACAAAAACAAGGAGGAAACTGGAAAAGAGAAATATATTCATACAACTAGAACGTGTTTACAAAGCACAGACCAAGCAATTTAGGGGAAAAGTAAATTTAGGAACATAGTGTATACAATGAACCCCATGTAATCTCTCCACCAAAATATCTACCCCTCTTTACACAGCCACATTGTTTGACAGAGAAAAGAGGCAGTGTTTCTAAGCCTCCAACATAGCAAGATCCTACCAGATACATCACCAGAGGGGTGGCATGTGGTGGCAGTGCCCAGTCATAAATATGGCTTTACCATCCCAGCTGCCCATTTTAGCTGTTGCCTAAAATCCCATATTGTCTGAAATTTACCAACAAAGAAGCCCCTAAACAATTACGATGCGTCTTAAATGTTTTTTAAGGGTGTGCATGGTTCCTCCATTCTAAATGGTGGGTGTTGGCAAATCCGTGGCTGATTGTTGTAGACTGGTCCCATTCAGCTCAGTGAAAGCTGCTCGAGATTTTAGCTTGCATGTGAGTTCCGCCTCTCCCGCAGTGTAGAACAGTGGTTACCAGTGTAACTGGTGCAGAGAACAATGTACTTTTAGGAGTACATCTCATTTTAGAAGGCAAATAATCTAATTTAAAAATGCCACCCTCACAGGGGTCCCTGCCGCCACTCTGTCACTCCAAATATAAAGTTCCGGCTACACCACTGGATCCTACTCCATTCTATCCTGCTAATGCATGAGGCATTATGTCTGACAGCATGCACTATTTTCTTCAGAAAGTCTACAAAAAAAAAAGAACACCGTCAGAAGGCAGTATGGTGACAGCCCAATTTTAAACTCAATTAAGGACTTGTGATGTTTTCTGCTGGATTGCACTGAAAGAAAATGCCAATATGAACAGGCTTTGGTGGGAGGGGGGGAAAAATCCTAATAGCTACAGTATATATATTGTATTTGAAATGCAGATGTTTTCTTCTTATTTTTAAATAATTTGTAAAAACCAATGCTGTGAATTCAATAGCTTCTTTTTTTATTGACCTAAAAGAATCTCTTGTATCAAGGAGTTCCTGATAAAGAAATTAAATGAAAAGTATTTCAGCCCTGTAGAAAGTGCTTTCGGTATTCTGAATAGTCACTGTGGCAGTTGCTGGGCTTGTGTGTCCTTTCCTATTCTCTACCGGGTGTACAACATGTACTGTAGCACACAGGCTGCTGTTTTCACTGGTCAGACTCCGATCTAAATGAACGCAGCTGTAGCTCTGGTCTCCATGGAGATTTCTATTTCTTCACTAGATTTTAATTTTCTACTCAGTGAGGATTCACATACCATCTACTGTTGTGCAGCTCAATTTACAGTACGCACCAGATCCAAGCAACTCCAGTGCTCTCAGAACTGGTAAACTTCTTAAACTCTGTTTGACAACACACCAACAGGAGCAGGTACATCGATATATACCTCCTGTTTGCCCCCATAAATAATGTGAATAAATATAAAGATTTGGCTGCCACTACATGCTTAGAAATCCAACTTCTTGTCTCCAAGTGGATGACAAGGAGGAAGTTGGAAAAGAGAAACATTCATACAAATAGAAAGTCTTGCATTGCTAAAGCACAGACCAAGCAATTAAGGGGAAAAATAAATTTAGGAACATACTGTATACTATTGTTTTAAAATGGCCATTTAAAATCCCTTGTAATCTCCCCCACCAACGTATTCTACCACACTTTACACAGCCACCTTGTTTTACTGTATATATTCTTTTTATATTTTATATAATTGCTGAATCTTAGCATAAACAATTAATTTACAGACAAAACACACAAAACTACTGGGAACAAAAAGACAGTTGGAGGCCTATTAGAAGGTTAATCTGCACCTTTGTCTTTTCTGCCGAAGGCATTTTATAATACCAAACCTCCTCTCCCTCTTCCAACAGTGCTTGCTGTTCCAATGCAAGATCAAACAAAGCATGGCAAGTAGAAAAAATAATTATGATAAAATCTGTAAGAAATACCAAAAGACCTAGTAACATATTGGATGGGAAGAAACAAATGCATTTACCTTAAAAACAAGATTACCACAAACCTCTGGGACTGTATCTTTAAATAATGTTTCCATTCAGTTTAAGTGAATCTGTATTCAACGGTTGTCAGAAGAAAGCACATAATACTGACTTTCATCAAGTCCTGGTATATAAATAAAAAGCCAGCAGGCCTTGAGAGCTGTGCAGCCTGCATCAGACACTGAGTGCAAATGCAAGCAGCAAGTTTGCTAGCAGGGGCCCAGGCATCCTGAAAGGCCCATAGGAGACTTAGTACCACTGTTGAGTGCAGCAATAAAAGAAAGAAAAGGCATGCCTGGCATTAGCACAGCCGTTGAAAGTGAAGGGGAGTGCTGTTAGTGTTCTCACTATTAGTCTCGGCAAAAAAACAATGTATACAGAACTATCTTAACGACAAATGGAGGATATGAGCGTGCGCCCATAGGCTGTAAATAATAACACATTCATTAACGTGCTGACTTTCTAATGTGCTGCGCATTTCTAACTGCACAAACTTTAAATTATCTTTACAAATATAAAAAAATGTTTGCTGTGTACTGTTTTGTAAGACTGGTGTGGTCAGTACAATTTCAGACATTTTATATTTTTACATAATGAGAAATAATACACATTTAACTTGCACATTTTACCAAAGATGATAATTTTATGATCTTAATCTTAAAACTTTAAAACGGTAACCTACTTGATTTCTTTTAGTTGCTTAAAACTTCACATAATAATCCAAATCAGGACTGTTCCTTGTTGTATAATTACTTTATTATACAGCAAGGAACAGTCCTGATTTGGATTATTATGTGAAGTTTTAATAAACTAAAAGAAATCAAGTAGCCTGGGATGGCTTCCAGTCTGAGGTAGGTTAAAGGTTAAAAAAATCAAACATATTTCTTGCAGACATTTTTATTAAGAATAAAGCAAGGATTATTTATTTCTGGAAGATAACATTTAAAAACATCAATAAAGGCTAAGGTCATATGCTGACAGGTTATAAACCTCCACAGCAATGAGCGTTGGAAAAATACATCATTAATAATGTTTCCCCCTACGTATTACTTTATGAGCAGGGGAGGTTTTGCAAATCTAAAATCCTGAAGTGATTTTAGACAAGATTCTTCCAGGTTAGCTCATTAACGTGGTATCTGAAAATTCACAGGAGAAGAGGAAATAAATTAAAATGAATGCTCTATGTGCTATCTCAGCTCCCAAGAAGTGTTTGAGAAAGTGCAGACGAGACATGGCCCTCTAACACAGATTTCAGCTGTAGTGAATAGATGCATCTGAATGAATCTGTATTTACAGGTTAGTGGCCATGCTGTGCACATTCCTGATTCTGATTTTGGCCCTTAAATGTCTTGTCAGTGTCCTAGTTTGAGCGAGATTCCAACACTTGGTTTCTTAGTCTTTTTGTGCCCCTCTGGATTTTACTATACCACTGCATTACCATTACACCCATGTTGTCTGTTCTTAAATTCTGGGGTGAAATTCTGCCCTTCAGTTGGGTGTCGGACAGTGACCAATGTAAACCCAGACACTTGCTCAAAAATGGAGATCTCAGACCGAGATATACGGTAGCAGATTTTGAAAAGAAGAATGGTGCATTGTTAGTAAGAGAAGAGAAGATGGAATACACACAAGATTTTTGCATTGTTCATTGCAGTCGCTGCTGGCTTGGCTACTAGGGGGAGAAAAATGTGGTTGAAGAAAAGTATCATTAGAACCATACTTCTGCCACCTAGTGGATTAAAGAAGCACTGTAGAAAGACTGACTTCATATGGGGAAGAGGGAAAGGCATGGACAGAGACAAGCACTTGAAGCAGCATTTTAACAGTTATACCAAGCAGCCAAGGACTATGGAAGCAAAGGAGAAAGCCTATTGTCAAAAAAGGGAGGGGAATACCCATATTTAGGAGATACCCACTCACCTTTGACCTAACCTCTATGTAGCGTCTAGAATTATAGAAGGTGTTGGAATCCATTTCCATGAGCCTTAATAGTTGTTACACACAACTGAGATGTTTTACACAATTCTAGCTTCAGAGATTCAATTTTTGTGGGGGTCACATTATACATTTTTGCATCTTCTCATCCAAGTAAATGGAGAACTTATTCACATTAAGTTAATATTCTAACATCATATTGACATCTAGAAATCACAAAGCGTGTGTGTTACATAATGCGGCTTTCTTAATCAAATGCAGTTTTAGGATGATGATGAGGCAACATCCCAGATATGGTAACATTGCGAGCCTAAAACGGATCATGTCTGAATTCCACCATCTTCTCGGAGTTCTAGAAACCAGGAGAATAAGGTACCTGCTGTGTGGACTGCTGACAGAGGGTCCAGGCTGTGAGAGACTACATTTGCCCCGTGGCTGTTTGCAATGAACAGGGGGTAAAGAAAGAGAATGTTCAGTCCAGGCAAATAAAGACAAGCTACTGATGAAAGAAATCAAAAAAGAGCAGCAACATAATCAGATGAAGGTGACAGATAACCCATGAAAACAAGGAAACTGGCTTTTCAATCTACATTCTTTTCTATGAAATACAGTGTACTCCAGCACAAGGCATATTATGCTACTAATCTGTCATGCTTTAAATGCACATTGGTCCTTAGTGTCATTTTGTATATGAAGGAAATTGCTCATTCTCCAGCCTGGCTTTGACTTTACAGTGTGTACAAGAATAAATAAAATTTGTCTTTTGAAAATATTCTAAAATTAAGAATTATTTAAAAAATGTCAAATTATTTTTAGCTCTCATTGGTTATGGTTGTAGATGTGTAGTAAGATTTAGAGTTGACTGAGTGTGGTGAGTCTAATAGAGCTGTACTATCATCAGGTTACTGATGTGTTTCCAGAAACAGAGGATATAGAAATTTTAGCAGATCTCCTGGCGATCACTACAGAGCAAACACACTGCATATTTGGTTATTAAGGTTTTACATTCCTATAAATCTGGTTAACCATGCTGCTTTACTTAAGTTACATTGTCATTAATGTATCAATGCAAACAAATCTGATTTCTTATATTTACAGAGGAAACAGTAACACAAATGTGTTAATTGTAAAATCTCCAAAGGCAAAACAGACTTTGGAAGTGGGAATATATTATCTCATATTGTCACACCACAATACACAATGTACTCAAAAACCCAGGAGCAAATCTGAATAAAGGAATTAGTGATATTGGACTTTGGATCCTAATGCTACATATTTTGGTGTTTAAAACTTAAGAGATCCTGGTGTTATCACCTTTCTCACACTTTGTAGCTCAATTGTGAATGATTAATCGATATGAAAACTGTCCAGGGTGGATGATGATATCATATAAACAAAACTTAATCTGTGCCTGACCAGGCTATCTCCAAACTTCAGTTTTAAGATGTACCGTATTTATAAATCATTCACTAATGAGCTGCAGAATATGAAAAAGTACTTGAGCAACTTGGATTATATATATAAAAAGATTATATATAGGTTTGAGACAAAACATCTGACTTAATGAATTATTATAACAGTTTTGGATTCAAGCCAGTGACTATATTTGCACTGGGAAATAGTACTGGTACTTACTGTACATTACATACATTTCTTAGGTTCATACTACAGATTTAACCATTATGCTTCTAATGCAATAATAATTGCTAATTATTTTAAATACTTTATTACTGTCCTCTAATTTGCCAGCCAAAATAATATCCTACTTATCAATTCCTGTAAATAAAGCAAAAAAAGGCAATAGAGATTTGATTACATCTGTTTTAAGGAATTTGGGTTGTAGATACTCCTTTCAATTTAACATTTTCTAAAATTTAAGAAACATATAACCTCTTCAAAACAACTAGTTACATTCCAGAATTTGTCTTGTGATTTAGAAAACTTGGCTTAGTTTTTCAAATCTGACTATATATACCACACCCTTACTTCACCTTTCCTTACATGTGTGCATTTTTCATTATTTTAGGAAACATTTTACAATCAAATTCATTTCTAACTACTTTCTTCGTGAACAAAACAAACTTGAGCTTCTAAAACCTATTCCAGTTTCTTGCTGTAGCTGCTATGGCTGTACATTTGAGCAGTCTAACTGAAAAGCCAGTGTTCCTTGTGTGTTTCGCTACAAGGATCTAAAGCAGACTAGGGGATGTAGCAAAATCAATTTAAAAGAGACCAAAGTGTAATAGCATTTACAGATGTATTAATAAGGTAATTAAAACAATATATTTGGAAACTAAGGAAAATTGAATCAAATCAGGTAACAGAACTCGAAAAAAGGGAGTAATAAAATCTGAGGTACTAGGACAATTTAGCTCTAGGAAAGATAGCATGCAAGGAGGGAGATGGGGAAGGTAAGGTGTAGAACAGGGTAGGAACTAAAGGCATCTGTGTGTGGCAGGGTCACTTTGGCCTTACTCTGGCATTCAGGGCCTGGTGATGTGCTACTGCTTGAAATTTAACACTCCCTCCGCACGGAGACACGAGAGAATGTCAGGACTATACGTTACCGATCGACGTCGACTCGGGGTGCTCCTTCCTGAGACAGGACTCAGAGACCCAGAGGTATCTAGTTCATCAGCTGAAGACCAAGATGACAGGTCCTGCAGTACGCAAATATAATTGAAGATGAGATAAGGTACAAAACATGATGGGAGGCAAGTCAACATATCCCCCATACTGTATGAACTGCCTTGTGTTAACCTAGTGCTTCGTCTGGAATGCTAGCAGCTATTTCACCCTGCAGCTCACAACTGGCAGTCCACTGAAGATAAGCAGATGTTAGCCTGGCCAGTACCTGGATGAGAGACCTCCTGAGAAAGCTAAGGTTGCTGCTGGAAGAGGAGTTAGTGGGGCTAGTAGGGGGCACTTGTCCTGCGTTCTGTGTGGGTCCTTATGCCCCAGTATAGTGACAGATACACTATACTATAAAAAGGAGTCATCCCTCGGATGAGACGTAAGACCAAAGTCCTGACTCTCCATGGTCATGAAAAATCCCAGGGCATTTCTCGAAAATAGTAAAGGGTGCTACCCTGACATCCTGGCCAAATTTCCCCTTTACAAATCATGGTCTCCTAATAATCCCCATCTATGAATTGACTTCATCACTCTGTTCTCCTCCCTTACTGATAGCTGATGTGTGGTGAGTGTACAGGTGCACTGTGGCTGTTGTCACATCATCCAGGTAATTTATTACTAACGACATATTAATGTGCCAATTATAAACAGTTTTGTCAAAATCTCCCCCAAAACACTGGAAATGTGGATTTACGATATGTACGTGGGGACATTTTGGGAACAAGACTCACTTGCTGGCTGCTTGTGATGTCCAGAATCTTCTCCAGCTCCCTAATGTCTCTTGTGACTGCCTGGAGTAGCAGCTTGAGGCGGTTCCCAATGACGTGCACCTTCTCCTTGGCCTCCAGGCAGTCGGTCCCCTGGGCGTTAACCAGCAGCTGGCTGGACATGTCCTGCAGCGAGGCCACCTTCAGCTGGGACTCCAGCAGCTCCCGCCGAATTTGCTGGTGATCAAAAGGTATCCATTTTACCAACACATTGACAATTAGAAAAGGGCAAGAGCTAGTAGCCTGGAGACTACTGGAAATCTATGGGAAAAAGGAACCAACACAAAACATGTCATCTTCTTAAAAAAAACTAAGATGCTATTTTTGCATGTATGTGGGTGAAGATTATCTTGGCACTCTGATTACTCTGATTCCCACATAAAATGAGCACATTTTAGTCCTTCGAATGACTAACTTTCTGAATCACAGTTTTAATGTTCAGTGCTCATAAGAAAAATGGGGAATATGTAACAGAGCTCCGAGGTTTCACATCAACTGCAGCAAGGAACAACAGAAGACGAGAGTTTTGAGAGTTTTACCATAAGAGTTTTGTGGTGGTCCTGGAGAGTGTCTGTATCCAGGGTAGAATCAAGGGGAACGATTTCGTTTCTTCTTCTGTCAATGTTCTCCAGCCATAGCAGGAGTCCATGGCTCATTTCATGGAAATCCTGCAAAATGAGGACAGAGACCTTGAGTATAAATATAGATTTATAAAAATAACAGTTAAAGATCCTGCTTTAAATTAAGACTACTCATAGGTTGGAGTTACTGATAACTGGGTTTGCAGTAATATAAACACACAAAAAAGTACACAATAAAAAACAGTATATCACTTTGGGGCCACGAAAACTAATGTATATATCTATTCATTTATTTTATTGAAATATTTTGGTAATAGAATGGCACAATAATATCAAGTGAAGTGGATTTCAGTATTCCAGTGTGTTATGTAGAAATTAACACATATATCTAAGTTTAAACAAAGCATTTTAATATCTTAGCAATTATGTTTAAGTCAGGTCATGGTAAACACCATTTTGTTTAATCAGAGAACTTGCACAATTTATTTTAAGACTGTGCATATATATATATATTATATGAGGGAACGGAGTGTTTTTTCTTCTAATAAAGCACCCTTCTGGTGGGTTGCTGAGAAAAGGCTGTTCAACAGCAGAATGCCGTGGAAGTGCTCCTTGAGAGAAGCCTATTAAAAGCCATGGAGAGTAAGAGACATTTGCAGGATCATTTTAAAAGCCTTTTGGCACTGAGCTTCTACTTCCGCTTATGCAATTTATTTTAGGCTTTTGACATGGTTTTAAATAAGGCATTGACAGGCATTAGACACTTGCCCTAAAAATGAACAAAAATAATCTCCAAAAGTAGAAAGTTCCAGTCTAATTATAAGGTTTATAAAACTGCGGAAAACTATAAGAAGAAAAATAGCACATCCTCATGTGTCTAATAATCAGAATTGAACCAAATCTGAGCCAAAACTGAACATGTAATGCTAACAATTAAAGAACAGTTTTAAACTGTACATTTGCACAATGTCTCAAAAATGACACATCTCTAGCTCATTTAAGTCACTTATGTGTTATTACTTACAGTTAAAGGAATGAATACACAAGATTATCTGTTCTTGTTAAATTTGTATGTGCATATGTGTTTTTCATGTATTGATCACAAACTTAAACCTGCCCAGATCCCCTTAATTTAATCTCAGGAGGAGAGATGCCTTATTCCGGTCTTTGAAAAAAAAAAAAGGTTTATCAAACACTTGAATGTTGTGAACAATAAATATCAAGTCTTAATGCATGGCAGCTGAGATATTAGTTTTCAGTTGTGAAAAACACACCTTTTAACTTGCTTATTATTGAGTTGTTTTGAGTAGTTCATCAAGATAAATTTAGCAAATTAACACAAACCCTTTAAAGGAGTGTTTTTCTATTACAGTATTTTGTATGGAGCAAAAAAACAGATCCTGCTGAGCCTAATTATACAACCCATTGAGAATAATTAACAGATTCTGAGGTGCTGTAGAAGGGACAGTGAATGACGCACATGGCACTGCATGAGAGCATCCTGCAGCGAGCCGCGCCAGTCCTCGATGGCTGTGCCAATGTGGTCCCAGCGCTTGTTCATCTGGCTCAGCCGCGCCCGCAGCTCCTGCGCTTCCTCTGTCTCCGACTGCACAAACTCCGAGCTGCACAGGTTGATGGACAGCACGATGGCTTTGCGGTTGTCCATGGCCTTCTGGAGCTCCTGCACAGACACAGATCCCAGGTTATTGAGTCTCTACCTGAGACCACTGATCCCACTGCTCCCCGAATGAAAAAGGAGGGTGTGGAAATGTGCAGGAATGACCACACAGTGGAGAGCTAAATGCACGACAGCGCTTTTAGGACTGCAGGAAAGTAACATAATTTGAACGGGACCAGTAAATCCAGGAGTTTGTGTATAGATTTTTAAGAATCTTCAGATCAATGCTTTGGAGTCCTTTGCATGCCACTCCTATTTCTTTCCAGCCCTCCTTTTTTCTCCAGAAAAAAGGGTCTGTCCACATTGTTCTCAAGAGAGCAAATTAAATGTTTGGTGGAGTTTAAGTCTCCAAAGTTAAAATGGAAAAATTGTGTGTACAACCATGAAAGTCATTTTTGTTTAAATCTTCCCCCGGGGATAGTACGACTGTGCTGAGTTTAGGGTCTTTGTGGTGCTTTAAAAAAAAAATAGAACACATGGAATTGAAGAGCACCTCTTTCATAATCACATCTGCAAACTATACCTATAAACTCAAATTAACCTGATGTAAGCACCTGTACAAATCTCCTAAATGCAGGGCTACTAATTTCCTGAAGACTAAACTCAGCTTGATCTTCTTGATATGTAAATCAGTGGTGTGGATGTCTGTGCTTCCTGAAGAATGAACTCACTGTGAGCTTCTTGATGCGGAGCTCGATGGTTGCGGATATCTGTGCTTTTCTGAAACTTGAACTCGCCTCGAGCTTCTTGACGCAGAGCTCAATGGTTTGGATGTCTGTGCTTTTCTGAACCTTGAACTCGCCTCGAGCTTCTTGACGCAGAGCTCGATGGTTGTGGAAATCTGTACTTTCTGAAACTTGAACTCACCTTGAGCTTCTTGACGCAGAGCTCGATGGTTGTGGAAATCTGTACTTTCTGAAACTTGAACTCACCTTGAGCTTCTTGATGCGGAGCTCGATGGTTTGGATGTCTGTGCTGAGGTCCAGCTGCCGCAGCTGCTCCAGCTGTTCCTCTGTCTCCCCCAGCCAGTCCCAGATGCTGTTCAGGTCAGAGTTGAACTGCTGCCACTGCTGGAGATTCTGCTTCATTCGCAGCTCTTTGCTGAGAGCCTGGGCCTGAATCAGCTCCCAGCGCTCAATCACACCTGAGATCAGGGAGTAGCTCTTAATATAAGGCAATGAGGACTGAGGCCTGTGTTGGGATTTACTCTAAAGGTCTGCTTTTAAAGTCAGTCTCTCTAAGGTTTAACACCAAAGTGAACTAACATTGTCTTAACGCTATTTCGCTGTTTAAATTCTGAAATCATTTATATTATTCTAGAATTCTGTAAAAAAACAACAACAAATTTACACTTTATTTTCTTATTACACTGACTTTCAAAAAACCTCTTTTCATCAATAACATTTCTGTGGAAGTGCTGAGGACTGGCAGTGTTTCTGTAGGTCCTGTAGCTGGTGAGCGGCGTTTCCTCACCTGAGGTCTGCGTTTCTGTGCTGTTGAGATTAATAAGCCCTGACAGCTTGTCCTCTTCCTCTTTCAGGACAGATCCAACCCGCTTCACCGTGTCAATGCTACCCCGGCACTCGCTCAACAGCCTCATCTGGAAGAGGAGTTAAACTGAGTTATACCACAGGTCGGAAGTTTGCATTGCACGGTATGCTGATGTAGTATTGGCTACATACAGGGGGGGTCAGGTTCTGGCATGGGTGACTTTGGCCTTCATATGAAACTTAACAAGTGTGCCCGGAGAGACTGTGTGCACACCAGGAGGAAAGGAAACCCAGTGCTGATGGAGAATAAACCAGCCTAGATTTTTCAGCCTGTGCTCTTACTCAGCACACAGGATGACAAACCCCACACTGATGCAATGAAATACAAGGAGAGGAGATGTGCTCCACATTGTATTCCAAGTACATGTGGCGCCTGACAAGTTATTTATTCACACTTTTAGTTTGAGCAGGAGTTGAGTATTCTATCCACGTGCTTGCAACAGTTATTTAAAAAAAACACCCAAAAGAATATTCTGAAAAACTAAAAGAAAGTAATGTCTAGAGATTGTTCCTGTTATTGCTGAATAAAAAATTAATAAAAACTGAGAGAAAGGGTCAGTGCTGGACTCACGTATCCCATGTATGTAGAGTCCAGCTCCGGGCCGGTAGGAGTTCTGCTGCGGATGATGTTCTCCGTCTGCTGCAGGTGGAAGCGACTGGTGTCCAGGGCCTTGTCCAGCTGCCTGATGTGTGTTTCTAGGGATCCCGCCTCACCTGAGGGGAATGTTTTGGTTATTAAGGATGACATCATTTTTCCACACAAATAATGAACGTGGCGATATGTTTTGAAATGTAGGCAGTAATTAATAACAATTGATGGTGAGTGTCCATCTGTACGGTGCCTTTCATCCATAAGAGATTCAATGATGCTTCACACATACAAAGGGGACCCATTTCATCCACCACTGAAGTGCAGCCCCCTGGTCATTCTGCCCCAGCAGTTTTACCGCAGCAGAGCAAGTGGAGAGGTAAGAGATTTCTTCACCAGTTGATTTAAAGAGGGAATTCAGGGAGGCCGAACTGTGCAAGTGGAAATTAACCAGGACACAAGGGATACACCTCTAGTCTTACAGACTCAATTACTGACTCAGTTACTCAGTTATAACTGCAGTAGCTGTGTATGAGGGAGTAAGATGCCCAAAATGTGTTTTTTACATTGAAAAATTTTCATCTATTTATTTTTCTTGCTCTAGGGTTCAGAGCACATGAAACAAGAGAAAGACATTGAACCTGGAGATTTACAAGCCCCCATGAGGAAGAAGAGCTATAAATTTAATAACACAAAAGTGAATGACCTGTCACATCAAGCACAGTCTAACTACAAGTTTGTTACACATGGAAAGAATCTTCTAGTCACCTACCAAGGTTTAAATAAACATGTCATACAGTATAGCATGCAACACAAACAACACAAGACACAACGGTAGAAAATAGACACGCAAAGAGATTCATATAGATATTGATTAGATACGTAAATATCAGCACATTTCATGGATAAAAATATATATTGAGTGCGTTCTTTTTCTCCTCATTCTGAAAACTGATAGTGGCTTTCCCTCCATGTAAAGAGTTAAAGAGGTTGTCATGCATCATGTAATATAAAAGGCAAATCAAATAAATTGTATTGTTTCTCTTTTCCTGCAAGAAATTGAAAACATGCATGCAGGGGATTAGTGGGAAAATCCCTGGCTGTCACAAAATGAGATGAAAGCCCAATGATTTAAACAGGAAAAGACAATATGAACATAAGACTTTTCCTGTTTTTACAAAACAATAAAACACAAAAGATTACATATGCTAAAATGTAAAAAATAAATAAAAATCTGTTAAAAAAATGATTGGTTAGAAACTTTGCCTGAATGTTTTCTCTCTCTAAATGATTATGACAAATAAAACTTCCAAACTGTAAGTTCAAAGTGAGATGTTTAGCCTTTTCAGTGAATAAGTGAAGGTTAGATCAGGCCTGAAGGGATATTAATTTCCCTTATAAGCTGGGGCATGGCATGCTTCAGCAAGTATTGCCTACCAGAGGTTGACCTCAGTGTATTTTCGGTCAGTTTTACATAGGCCTCTGGGCTCTCAGGAATCACTACATCTGGAAAAAAAGACATACAAGCAACATTTGAAACCCTAAATGGATCTCCTTCATTGAAGAAATGAAGATGGAGAATCCAATTCTGTTAATACCACAATTCGTGGTGTTTTTTTATGTTAAACCGGGCCTTCAAAGGACACACAAGACAAGCATCCTTTTAAAAATGTATACGACATGAAAGGCTGTTTGAGTCACAATCCCAGTCCCAAGGATATGAGATGTTCTAGCGGCAGCACATTTCCAGGCAACTTTAAGGAGTCACATTTTGGCTGGTAGATTTCTCCCCCCAAAAAACGTTATCAAATTTTAGGGGGGAAATTACTAGAAAGATGAGCTACTATGCTGCATTTCTGTAGGCCTGAAAATTAAAAATGGACAAGCCCAATGGAGGAAGTATACTCAAACTGATCAAATACACAAAATCAGATACTGACATACTGTATAGCGTATAGCAGAATAAGTGGGGGAAAAAAGCTAATAATGGTCACGCTCGTCATTATAGTACTATATCGGATGTCAGGCTCAGGCTCTGCAGAGGAAAAAAAAGAGACAGAAACAAATGAGGGCGTGTGGCCTGACCGACCTGTGACGGCAGAAGCTCCTTGGAGGTGGAACTCCTTGCCGTGCTCATCCGCGTCCTGGGAATCATCGTCCTGCTCGGGTGCCAAGGCCCTGGTCATGGTCTCCAAGCCGCGGCTCAGGTCGTAGTCGTGGTCCCACTCCAGGGGGATGGAGTCCACGCTGGCGGGGGTGTCCCGGCCCGAGCGCTCGGTCCGCAGCGGGGGAACCAGGGAGGCGGAATGGCCTGAGGAGGGTTGTGGCGACAGCAGACTGTCCCCTGCCCGGTCGCTCCAGGGCAGGCTGGAGAGTTCTAGCGCCTCCTCCAGGTCGAGCTCCCTGTCAGACACGTCGTGCTCATCATCGGTCAGCTGAGGAACAGAGTGAGCAAACTCCGTCAGGGCCACCGGCAGGGTTGATCTCTTTGTTGATCCTTAACCTTCATTATTACATAGATGGGATTATCAAGATTAAAATGAATGATTTGAGCTAAAACCCCAATTGTGGACCTCCTGGGTTGGAAATGGGGGTGGTTGCAGGATATGAGTTATGAGACTCAATAAATCCAAAAAGCAGTATTTTTTAATTAAATTGGTTTTTGAAAGAAATGTTAAACAAGTCCATGTCTGCTCTCCGAGTAAAACTAGAAAGTCTAGCAGTTTTAAACATTGCGTCCCAAATCCATTATGTGCAACTTGATGGCTCTGCAGGCTGTTGTTTACCGGAAGGCGGATGAGCTTCCTGTAGTAGCGGTCAACCCGGCCAAACACTTCCTGACAGTATCTGTGCAGCTCCTCCAGCTCCTCCTCAATGACGGCAGCATCCAGTGGCTCGCTCTTCTCAATGAGAGCCTCCCCCTGGTGGAAGATTTGCTCAATCTTGCCAGTGTTGAGGGTGATCTCCTGCTGGAAGTCCTTGATAAGTGGTAGAAAAAATGAACGCAATTAAGAATAATAGCAAAATTAAAAATAATAATAGCAATCATGTAAAAATCACTTCTTATTGAAAAGATTTTTAACCAAAGGACACACAATTTTCTTTGCTGTTTGTCAAAGACATAGCATGTTTTTTTTTCTTCTATTAGTTTTGCTTAAATCAATTGACCATTACTGTGTTATTTGGAACCTTACATTTAACATCCTTAATTTTAAAGTCTTTTGTGCATGAATATTGTAGCAACACATCTGATAGCATATCACATCAACACATGAAACAAATTAGTCAAATGCACAGGTTAAAAAACTGTTGGGTTTCTAAAAAGAAAATATGGATTTAAACCTAAACTTTTACATTTTAGAAGAAAAATTGAAATTAACTTTAAACGAATTAATGTTTAAAGATTTAAATCTCGCAAAACTATAAATCCAGACCCAAAAAACATGTCAAATAATTGTTAAAGAAGACAAAATTTAAGACATCAATTAAGTCATACCATTATGATAATACGGAGATAAAGGGAAATTTCAAACAATGAGGGTATTTAATTCTAAAAAACAGCTGGGAATGAATATTCAGAACACAAGAAGTCTTTACTTTTGAAAATGTCATGTGCAAAGCTTTCATTGTAGCATTAATCCACAGCATGTCTCCTGTGAGATTGTAGCATAGCATCTAAATTTTGGAAGTGCTGAATCTGACATTTAAAATAATTAGCTTAATTTTCCACTATTATCTAAAGAGCCTGAGTCATTTCACTGTCATAGCACACTGTAGGGAAGAAATAACATTTCATGTTTATTTAGCCGTTATCGTGAAGTGTGTTCAGAAAGCAACAACACCATTACTACCCTATGAACAGTATGAAACACTTCAGTTTACATGCAAATCTTCTAACTGTATGGTATACTTGAAATACATTTCCTTTTAGGTGCAGATTCATAAAATATTACTTTTCTTATTGTATAGACATGCAGTTGCTGACAGTGTCTGTGAAATGTTCAGATTTATCCATGTGGTTAAATGACCTATACCTAATGTATATTTAGGGGTCTATTCTAAAAGAAGATAAGTGTGCTGTCACTGGTTGGCCTTTAACCATAAGAAAAGCTTTGTGCCACAAATTCAAAGTTATTTCCCCTAAATGGAAATAGGGTGCAAAACAAAATTTGTGTTCTTTCACATTTGGGATGTCTCAGATCAGATTTATGAAAACTTCTAAACCATTGTGAAGTGGAAATTAGAACTGCTGAGAGACAGAGATAGCAAGAGTGATAGGCAATTAAAAAAGGAAACAACAGATTAGGTTAGACAGAAGTGAGTAGAGGAAATGACAGGATCATACTGTATAACCATGTGAAATCTAATATCACACACTTCCATCTTCCACACTTCCATACACAGCTGAACTGATACTGAGCATCAAAGAAACCTGACACTTACTGCATAGTTACAAGGACATAAAGTTAGTATGAGGGAAATAAGAAAATTATTTTTGTAGGGGGTGCAGTGACAATGTAGAACAGACACGGCACAGGTAAATTTATTACTCCAATATCTCTATACTCAACATTTAAAAATATAAAAATCCCAATTGGCATTACTAAAAGGTATTACTAAAAGCCAAGGGAGAGAACAATGTTGTTGATTCTTTTCCATTGTATCCCTAGATTGACACATATCTTTGCATCAATAAGAAGATAACCGATTCCTGTCTCATAAACCGCTTATGATTACTGCCATAATATTGGGATCCTGCAACCAATGCATTACATTCACTGCAGCACAGGATGCCATTTCTTTCCTTCGTCCACCTACGGGGTCACCATCCCTGCCTCTCGGCACAAGGCTGCAAGACCAACCTGGATTGGCATCGACCTAAAAAATGTGCCCTCTCTACCGTGCCTGGAACCCACTCCGCTCCCCCCTGGATCCCCAAGACTGGCGAGATCAGCATTATTAAACACCCACTCCGTAAACAAAAAGGCTTTTCTCACATGTGACTTTATCACAGAAAAAAACGTGACTTTCTGTGCTAAACCGAAACCTGGTACAGACAAAATGGTCTCCTGTTCAACCAGCTAGTCCCTCCGGGGTACGGGTTGTTTGACCTCCCTCATCTCCCAGGCAGTGGTTGGGACATTATTGTTATTTATAATCTTCTTTTTCTGTTACTTTACCTCTTCCCTCTTCTTTTAAATGTCTTGTTTTATATGTTCCCCACTCTACCATCATTGCCATGGTCTATAGACCACCCATTTTTGTAGCGCAGTGCAGTGACATTATGTGCGGTGACAATGTCAAACAGACATGGCACAGCTAAATCTTTTAGTCTGATTAACATTTGTGGTACATGCGTTCTTGTGGAATGTTTTCACATTCCATTCTCAGAGCCTGGACTAATGTCTCAAACTCAGAGCCTGTTCACAGACCTCTGACCCCCAGATGCCACACTTTAGATGACAAACCTAATGAAGCCTTTTTAGGCGAGTTTGCCGATTTACTTTCATTTTCATACCTCAGTATTAAGAGGATCCTTATTCTAGGTGACTTTAATATACAGTACATATTGACTCACAGTCTTCCAGTTTAACTAAGGATTTTCTAACTCTGTTGGGATGCTTTGATCTAACCCAGTTTGTTCTTGGCCCAACACATGACAAAGGACACACCCTTGATTTAATAATTGCAAATGACTCTTTTGTTTTTCACTTCTCTTCCCTCAAACTAGGCCTCTCTGACCACTTAGCTATTCTCTTTAATCTGGAATTACCTCTTTCTAACATTTCCCCCTCATGCTCCATAACGTTTCACAAATGGCAATCAGTTGAACAGCCTAGGTTCACGAATTCTGTTCTACCCTCCTTATCTTGTTTCTCTACCTTTGATCCTCTAGAGGACAAAATACACTTGCTTTATAGCACTCTTTTATCTGCCCTCGACACCTTCACTCCTCAAAAAACTTGAATGATCTCTTTTCTTGCTCTGCCCCCTGGTATATTGACCATCTGTGATCAATGAAGGCAGTTTCCCAGAAACTTGAATGTACTGTAGGTGTCATCTTTCTGGCCTAAACATATATTATCAGGATTGGAAAGATAACTTGTCTGAATATAAGGATATAATAGAGTCTGCTAGATCCAGCTACTTCTCTCACATCATTGAAAATAACCAAAACAACCCTAAGACAACTTTTCTCCACCATCAACAGACTGCTAAAGCCAAACTACACCACCACATTAGCTGTCTCATTGCAACTTTGCAACACATTTTTAGATTTCTTTAGTTCCAAGATCGACAACATCCAACATTCCACAAGACATGTCACTTTCACTACTCCTTCCTACTCGCCAAACTTGACTAGCTCCCTTCTCTCCGACTTCTCTTATCTTGACTCTGCACCGATTAGTAAACTGGTTTCGGATATATGAAATCCACCACCTGCCTATTAGATCCCATTCCCACCACTTTATTTCATTTTTCAGCCTGTTTCACTTCTAATAATAAATGAATCCTTGAGCACTGGTGTTGTGCCAATGGTCATCAAAACTGCTGCCATTACCTCCGTGCCAAAAAAGCCAAACATTGCTCTGGACAATCTAAACAATTTTCGCCCCATCTCCAACTCACCCTTTCTTGCAAAAATTCTAGAACGTGCTGCCACACTTCAGTTACATAACCACCTCATGGCAAATAACCTTTTCGAACCCCTCCAATCTGGGTTCCGTCAACTTCACAGCATAGAAACTGCCCTGGTCAAAGTCACTAATGATCTTCTAATAGCTTCTGATTCTGGTTCTCTTTCTATACTCATCCTTCTTGTTCTTAGTGCTGCTTTTAACACTGTTAGCCATGATATCTTTCTCGTCTTGAGACTGTTTAGAGTTTCGGACACTGCTCTTAAATGGTTCAAGTCTTACCTCTCTGATAACTTTGTCTCTTGGAGGATTTAGGTCTGAAATTGGACTTAAGTCTGGTGTTCCTCAGGGCTCGATACTGGGCCCCCTACTTTTAAGCATTTACATGTTACCACTTGATAAGCTTTTAAGATCACATGGCATCAACTGCCACTTATAAGCTGATGATACTCAGACCTACCAAACCTGATACTGATGTGGCTGTCTCCATTCTCTCTAATTGCACCTCTGACATAAAAACATGGATGACTCAGAATTTTCTTAATCTAAACCTCTAAACATTCAACCCACATGTGCAACATATTGTCAAAACATCATTATTTCACATCAGAACTATCACCAGACTACATCCTATGTTACCGCTAACTGTTGCTGAAAAGCTGATCAACACCTTTGTCTTCTCCTGAAATGATTACTGTAACACTCTACGCGCTGGGATTTCTAAATCTACATTGAACAAACTCCAAAAATCAGCATCCAGAATCCTAACCAGGTCTAGTGCAAGTGATCACTTGCACTGGTCTCCTGTGAGGTTTCATATCGACATCAAAATCCTCATGCTCACGTATAAGGCTCTGCATGGCTTGGCACCTCAGTGAGCTACTGTACCATCATCCTACTCCCCACCTCATAACATTCGCTCCTGTCTGGTCTCCTGTCTGTCCCCCAAGCCCGTCTACACTCTATAGGTGATAGGTTCTTCTCCTGTTATGCCCCAAAAGTCTGGAACTCTATCCCTAAGGCCATTAGAGAGTCAACTTCCTTAGATTCTTTCAAATCTACTGTAGATTCAAAACCTTCTTCTATTGAAGGGCCTTTACTGATTCTGTTATTTACCCCTCTGCTCCTACATGTATTTAGCATCTCCATCTACTGTCTCCTCTCATTGTGTATTCTCATTGTACATATCTTGTGTATTATTTTATTGTTCTTATCATTTTATATAGCGCTCTCAGACGCCACCTTTCAAAACACTATATAAAATAAAGTTGTATAACTTTCCAAATACATTATCTGCAGTTTACTATAAAAGTTGAAAATGAGTTTTCAAGAAAAATCTCCTGATGTTTACAACCATTTGAACAGCAGTGTGTACAGTAGGTATTGCTTTTGAAACTGCTCTCCCACCTTGAGCTGCTTTATCTTCGCCTGCACATCGCACTCAGAAAAGTGTTCAATGTTGGTCAGCTGCAGGTCCATTTCTGTCAGCCACACCAGGATACTATCCCTGGCTGTCTCAAACTCTTCTCTCTGGCTGATAAAGTGCTGTAAAACAGATAAAGTGCTTCAAATCACACAGACACATGCAAACATGTTAATCCTTCTACTGTACATCCTAGTCATCGTCTCCAAAGGCGACAAAATTCAACCTCCATACATACCAATTTTACCCACATTTTGCAGTGGAAAAACAGATCCCAATTTTCCTAAAATGTATCAGTATGTAATGATTTCGGTATATCTACTATAATTATTTTTATTTTACCCTGAAGTAACTTATTAGTAAGTTAAATAAAAAAATAACACTGGCAAAAGGGAATTGGCAAATGGCAAAGGGTAATTAGTAGTACATAAGCTCACTGGAGTCCTGCAGAAATGAGATGGCTGGCATTTGTAGTTTGTAGTTTTCATCCATCAACGTGTTAAGGTACATGTTAATAGCACGGATGGCAGCTAACGCACCTTCAGTCTACGCAGGATGGAGGACACTCTCTTCTGCAGGTTGTCCCATCTCTGGTTGCCGTTGTGGACCATCTCCTTGAGGTGGCAAGACGAGTCCGTGCGGTTCTCCCGCGCCAGCCGCCGGTACTGCTTGTTGATGAGCTCCAGCTGGGTCAGGCTCTCGTGGACTTGGCGCTGGAACGCCTGCAGGGCCCGACACAGGGGAGCACACTGAGTCACGGCAGGAGTGTGAAAGGCCAGGACCTGACCAGGCTGTGGCCTGCATTTGCCACAGGTGTTGTCACCATGTGCAGTCCATTTAGTTTTTCAGAAAAAAACACTGCCTACAACTGAAATAACCGTTTTAAAATGCAACCATTAATAATGGTTCAACATGAACCACTATCCATTATGTGCCTGGAAATTACTGCATTTTCTTCTCACAAAAGCACTGGTTTTAAATAATTTATGTAATTTTCCGAAAAAAGGAAGAAATTTTAAAGACTGGCAGTCAGAAAAACATTGCTAAGCTCAATAATCACTCAATTACCTAAACCTAAAAAAATGTTATACAAAACTGTATTGCAGTTATGTCTGGTAAGCACGTTAAGCACGCAGTATTCAAGTAACCGTGCTGTTAATGCATCTTTTACATTGCATTGTTCCTTGTTCATTTTTTAATAGAGTTACTAAGTAACTATTGAGCAATGATGAACATTTTAGATGCGCAGAAATTAAACCAAGACCTTTCTTTGTTCACTAAGCAAGTATTGTCAAACTTCCTTTGACAAATTCTTTTACCTGTTAAATTGTACTTGAAAAACCATCTTGGTTATTGAAAGTGGTTCAACTACAGTATCATGCATATGCTGTAATGATTCTCCAGTCTCACAATACATTCACTAATGTTGACTCTGAGAATGATGTGAGAAGGACTTTCAACTGATAAGTTATGAAAGTTTGGTATTTTCAGTGCTCAATCGCAATCAACCGATACGTGGTGGAATTTTACTTCCAAAAGTATGACCTATGACTTTTGCTTCATACAATGCAGGCCTTTAAGGGGTTTGGGGTACTTAATTAAAATATGCTTCAAGTCAGTCTTGGAACAATAGTGAGAGCTGATTAATGTGTTATTGAGGCTGCCAAAAAACAGCTGCAATAGCTGTTTATTTACAGCAATGTCTAAGGAATGAGAAGCTAAAGATGGATATGTTTCTTTCCTGAGAAGCTTGAACAGCCATATAAGCTGATAAGTGGAGACATTTAGTATACTAGGAAACATGCCACAAGACGTACCGTATGTTTCAAGAAGTTAATTTAGGAACTTGAAATATCCATTCTTTATGGAGGAGTCTTTATAGTTTAAAGCTGAGACCCTTTGTGCATTTTGCTCTTAAAAAAGTACCTTTCTAATCAGTGACTTTGTGGGATCAAAACTACATTGCCAGTTTTGTAGGGAATCACATTCATAAAATACAGCAGGAAGTCATATAACCCAAGTTACAAATGCCTTCTTTCACAGACAGAGTCATCTTTGAGAGCAGCCCTAATCACCCAGCAAACTGACGCCCATCTGCAAAAGTGAGCTGAAGAGTCTGTTTGTTGTCATGTCAGTCTCTGGTATGCAGTACAAACTAGCACCAACTGGTCTTAGTAACCCGATCAGAAGGCTTCACATTCTGGCTGGGCTCCGTGCAGTTGTACCTCAAACTTCTTGAGCTCCTCTTTGGCCACTGTGTAAAGCACTCCAGATGAGTTGGGGAAGGCAGCTGTTCTCTCTGATGTTTTCAACCAGTCTTCAAAACGCGAGAAGTCATCCAGGAACTTCTGCCACAGCCTCCAGGTCTCTTCGATCCTAAGTTGAAAATAGAAATATAAAAAAATGAAGTGAAATACCAAAGCGACCGCCTATATAAAATGGTAGAAGAAAACAGTTTTAGAATGTGCCTCGGGTGGTGCAAAATATTCTGTAGCTTTGAGTTTCACAGCATGAAAAATGAATGTTTTTGAAAAACTAATAAGACGCACAGAAGATGTTGCAAGAAGAGACTTCACAGGGGTTCACAGACCCTACAAACAGCCTGTACTAACCACAAAGAAACACAAAAATATATCTACAAAACTGGATATACTGTATTCCTCTATTGGGAATGGCTTTTGCTCAGAATGAAAATGCAGCACACAGAATTAATATTTCTCCTATGCATTTGCTTAGATATTTCAATATCCCCCGCTCCCCAAAAAACAGTTAAACAGTTTTCAGAGCCCTATAGCTAGTGCTGTACAAGAAAACCCTGGATCCATTCCAACTTTCCAGTGTGAGAAAACTGGTGTAACCCCTGTCTTACATGCATCTTCATTTAGCACAAAAGTAGGCTATATGTCTTACCATGTTTTTTTTCACGAAAACATAAGCACTTTTACAAATGACAGAAGCTATTCAGCCCATCCATGCTGTTATGTTTTTAAGAACTAACTGCTCCAAGGATCTCATTCTTGAAAGACACCCAGCTGTCAGTTTCAATAGCACTGCTGGGCAGCCTCTCCCCAGTCTCCCACACCCATTTGTGAAACCAGAGGACACACGTTGATGAACATTGCCATGAATCTTCATCATGGATTTCATGGCGCTGCCCAAAACAGCTTCACACCTTTAAATCAATACCCAAGATAAAAGAATCCATATTTTGTCCTAAGAGCTCCTGCTCTGTTGCCTGTGACTTACTTGAGTCTCCGCTCCATGGACATGGCGCAGATGTTTCTCCATCGGCGGTCCAGGTTGCGGGTGGCCTGCTGGATGGAGTCGCACTCGGTCTCGGTGGCGCAGGCATCGCAGTCATGCAGCAACACTTCACACAGGTTCAGCACCGACGCCACGCCGGTGCTGTGCTTCTCAATATCTCTCTGGAGATCCTGGACAAATAAAAATGCACACATAAGGCATATGGAGCTGTCTGAGCTGCTCAAGTGTTACAGCACTGCAGTGGCAACCATCTTTGTGTGATTTAACTGCCATTAATGCTTATATAATTGCTGATTCATTACTAATCAATTAACCATTCTTAATGACGTATCGCTACCATTTTACACGATAAATAGAAGTTGTTATAAACATTTTTATGGCATTGTGGATAGCTTACCATGTCTTGAAGACAAAATATAAGAAAAACCCAATGTATTTTTGAAACTTTGTTGGTTACTACAAAGGAAACAGGGTGATTAAGCAAGGTGGCGTAAGAAGGGAAACACCTTTCACAATGCTGATAGAATCACTTCTTGTTCTGGGAGTTGAGTTTGCAGATAAATTCCATCTAGTTTTTTTTATAATAATGAAGTCCCTGAGGGGAGAATTTCATCTTTCTCTCATATTAATTTGAATTTTGCAAGCATTCACAACACCAAGGTCAGTTTCCACAACTTTTATCTAGCAACCTAAACTATATCAACATACAACTATCCAGATAGTCCTGCAATGCAAAAAAAAGCCATTATCATAGGGCTCTAAAATGTACTTTAACAGGGTTACTACAAATGAAAATGACTTGTCCAGTGTTATTTCCAAGTAGCTCTTCTGTTTGGGAACAGAAGACAAAAATAGTTAGTACAAAAATAGTCTGGCATGCTCAGCTCTGTGACACAGCAATGTTTTCACATATTGTACGTCATAATGTGATTTGTATCATCAGCTCCAAACATGTGTATGCATTAACTTTGAAGTCACAATAAGACTCAATTAAGTTAAAACACTGCACCTAATGTTCAACAGATTGTGGAAACCAAGAATTACAGCACCACACATGAAAAATAAGGCTATAAATCTGTTAAAAAGCTGTGCTTGAAGTTTTATTAATTTTATGAAACTCACTCTGCAGAGCGACTTGATGCAGAGAGCCTTTGCAATTTGAAAAGTAGAGTCACACAAGGCACATTTACAATCATCTTACTTGACTTCTTCTGTGTTGTTCATTATGTGCTAAAAGCAATAATAAGAGGCTAAAGTTGAAAATGAGTCTTGTCCTTATTTACTTCATTATACAGATGTTTCTGTGACTTTTTACTGTATGTATGATTAGATTGCTTCTCATAAGATAATCAGCTGCATACAACAATTCATATAGTTTTACAGTAGTTTTCAAGCTACAATGTCATTTACCAGCATATTAGGGGCCATGTTTTAAACTCATGTTTTAAAATTTGTGGGTGCCGGGGAAGTATGAGGTGACATGATTCCCGCAGATTCCCTAGTGTAGAATTATCTTATAGTATGTAACAGACTCTTGAAGTAGTTGCTTTATAAGTAATCAAAATACTCCACAAACTGTGGAACAGTGGACAAATAGGGTATGTTTAATAAAGCATTTTCAGTGAGATGTTATTATCTTCTAATTCTGCCACAAAACCCCCAGACATATCTGTAAATATATTTTATTCTAAGTTCCAAAGGGTTAATTATATTATTAAATTAAACAGTTTAGTACAACAAAATGTGTAAAAAGTCTTAATTATCTCAGGTTGTCAGCTCCAGCTAGGGTATGTGCCATGCTCCTGTCTCGATAATAGGCAGACTGGAAGAGATCCTCTAGCACAGCAGGACAGCAGAAACCTCAGGGTTAAAGCAAGTCTTTTTACACAAAGACAAATGAATCAAGCTTTGAAATATTATGCAACACAAAGGCCAAAGAGAATTTTCCCATTCAGATGATGCTAAAAAAGGTCAAAGCCCTGTGGTGTCAGAGTCCGGTTTGGTTAGTTGATTGTGGACTAAATTATTTAGGTCTACATTTCACATTTTGGAAAAACACATTTTGTTCCCTGCATACTAGCATTTATGCATTCCTTTTAGTGCACTGCAGAAGCCACACGCATCAGAAGGCCAGGTCTCACCTGCTGTTGAGAGAGCTTCTTCTGAATTTCCTGGGAGTTGCAGGTCTCGTAGACAATGGGCTTGGCGAGCTCCGTCTCGATGTGGGACAGCCAGGACCTCAGGCTGCTCATGTTCTTATCCAGCTGCTGAACAGCGACCAGAGTCTCCCTCAGCTTCTTCACCCTGTGGCACCAGAGGACAAACAAAGATCTTAAAGCATCAGAATTGTTCCCCCCTTTTAATTACTTTGAAATCGGTTTCCTGAATTTAGCTTTGAACATGCACAGTATACCAATGACCATGACCACCAATCAAAATATTATTTTAGATTACTTTTAGTTACTTTCAACCTCCCTGCTTCCTGTAAACCCACCTTCATGTAACTCTGGGTGACAGTCCTCACAACAGCTTCAAGGTTGATCAGCGACTGTCCGCAAGTTTTGGGGACTCAATATCATTGTGATTTCACTGATTATTAAAAGATCAGGGCTCTCCACTCCCATTAAGTTGTCACATGGTTTTCACAGATTGTTAAGATCATGAAAGACAGATTATTTCACTGCTGCTCGTTCCTAATTACAGTTGCTTAAATGTGCACAGATTAGGTGTCGCAATTAAAGCTATTTGAGATTCCAAGGGGAAAAAAAAGCTTTCATTAGATTTTATTCCGTTAGGTTCACCTAATTGGTTGGGTGAGGCAACAATAATACCACCATTCCAGCAAGAAAAAAAGTTTCTTTCAGCTCTACATACAAGTCATTTGGTCTTAGGGTTTTGGTTTGTTTAATTCAACCAAACAAATCATTTACTTAATAGAAAAAAAACTTTTTTTCACTTCTCAAATATGGATGGTAGAATGGCATCAATATCTATAAAATGTGCTATGGCTCTTGAGGATGATTTAGATAGTGATGGTTCTGTTGTTTTTCTGGGGGTTTTACCTTTGGCATCCTTGGCTTTGATACCTGCTATGAAATTCTATGATGTCAGAGTCAATTGTCAATAAGTGTTCTTTCACTGAGACTGGAATTTAATTGGATGTCTTAATAAAAAGCCAGTGGCTAGCACTGATGTTACAAGTGTTGAGATTCTATTTAAAAAACTAAAACAATGAAAAGGAATATTTGAATACAAACACTCTTAAACACCCTTAAAAGTTTGCATTTAGGGCAGTATAATTGTTAGAAAATAGTTAAATATAGGAAAATTCAACCATTATTTTATTATTCAGTATTTGCTTAATATACCATCTTTGAAAGAAAGAAAATAATTTATTGAAAGCCACAATATGTTCTGTATTCACCACTTTCACATCTGTGTGCTCTGGGTTCTTCTAGTCACCCCCAAAATGCAACATTCACAGGAGAAAAGCCTCCCATCTCAAACCCTATATTTTAACCTGAAAACACCTATTAGACCTATAAGTATTAATACCTATCCTGGTATTATCAGAAACATAATTGACAACAGATATAAATGGTGCATTCTACTTTCATTCTAGTAGCTACATTAAACTTCACTATTTAAATAATTCAGCTTAACAACATCAAAAATTCTTTAATCTAAATACTCAATCCAGTAATACAACAGAGATACTGTATGGAGCAACAAATAATAATTCCAGAATTGGGCCCATAACTTTAATTATAAAGTAGTAATGTTGGAAAACAATGTTTTAATGTTGTAATTACTCAGAGGTAATAGTAAAACTATTATGGTATAAACCTAGTGCTAGGGAATGTACAGTAGCTGTTATTCTAAAGCATTCCTTGTGCTTGTTGTGTTTTCCATAAGCTAAAAAAAGTTAAAATCAAAGACGGCTTTGGTGTTATGTTAGTTTAAAGGTCTTCCATTCAGTAGTTGCATTAACATTAACGTGGGTGTAGCTGTATAACAGTGGCAAGAGAAATATTTTCTAGAATTCAGTATTCAGTGGAATTCAGTTTAACTTTAATCAAGAATGATGACAGAGGGAGATACTGTAGCCTTTGTTCTAATATGTGTATACTGTAAGTTTCTGTCTCTAGAAAATGCCTCTTTTGTTATTTTTATATATATTTTTATTTTTATTGATTGGATACAAGAATAGATAGAAAATACCATAAAATTACATTCCCTTATTAAGAAATAACCCCAAAGCTACCTATGACATTGGAACAATGTGGAGAGTTGTTTACATATACTGTACTGTATCTACATACAGTAGATGCATATTTAGGAATGTTTGCATACACATCTCACGTGTGTCTGCTAAAGATTTCTAATTAAATTCTCTGAGTGAGACTGAGTGAGGCTTTTTTTAGCAAGTCTTTACTAAGTCAGAAAGTCTGTAAAAAGATACTGCAGTTCATGGTTGAGAAGTAATGTTGCTATCTTTATTTAAAAGTGAAGTAAAAGTCATTTCAATGTCACAGTTGTCTATCATACTTTAAACCAATTAAACTGTTTTGTTTTACAGTTTTGTTTTTCAAACTTATGCATACTAAATAGCTTGCAATAGCATAATAGAATATCTAAAAAGACATCAAATAGGGCACAATAAAATAGCATATTCTAATTAGATTGTGTAAAGTCAGAATAAAACCTATTAAGAATTTTTAATAGGTTTAAAACTTTCAGAACTTCCATAATAAAAATAATACTAATACAAAAATAATCCATGAAAAAAGTGAGAGAGGGAAATAACAGCCCATTTCCCACAAAACTCATGGCCAAAGTGATACAGAAAGATAGCTAGAATCCTACACAATTGAGCCTGCCCTGAGTGAAAATAAACCCCCCCAAAAAAAATCTTAGCCTGCCTGGTCACATCACAGTCACAGTCTGGAAGATCCGAATCTTCGTTACGGCATCCTGCCATTTTATCTGTTCTGAAGTCCACCACCATGGAGTTGAACTTTACGTTTCTGTAATCTCAAAGAAAGGTTTTGGGCTGACTGCCTCCTTTTTGCAAACAAGCGAACTTTGCGGAGAAAGGCAAGGCAGGGGCAGCTGTCAGAGCGACTTGTGACCCACACTCTAAAACAAATGTTACCAGAGAGCGCCTGAGAGTGACAAGCGTTTGTGTTGCTAAATAAAACTTACATTCATCAGCATGTGCTGGCGAGCTGGCTGAGCAGGAATGCCAGAACGCAGAGGCTGATGAGATAAAGCTCCGGCTGTCGGCACAGAAGGTAGACACTAGAGTCCCAAGCTCCTAAATGGTCTCAGAATCGCAGAAAAACAGAACTTAAACTGCACTGAGATTTTAAGGCTGTGGACTCCTGTTCTATGGCCGTGGGAATTCCTTTGAGGTTTCAGCAGACAAAAAAAAACAAGAAAAAAAACAAGGTGGCTGCAGCTGTCTTACTGAGATCACTTCCACCCAACCCCCCTCACCCACATACAGTAGGAGGGGGGAAATGGTTAAGCCTCTACAGTCATCATAACACTCCCAAACTGACACAAAACCTCACTGCAGGGATCCAGTTCTCCACAGGACTATGAAGTAAGAATTATCAGCAGTACTGGAACATATTGGTGTCCCAACATGAGAGAACAGGATAAAATTAGCCTGTGTGCAATAAAATCCCATTGTTGTACTCAAACAAACACATTTTAAATGGATCTAACAAAGTATAGTATCTTCCTTTTGTTATAATAATAATAATAATAATAATAATAGCTTACACTTATATAGCGCTTTTCTGGACACTCCACTCAAAGCGCTTTACAGGTAATGGGAACTCCCCTCCACCACCACCAATGTGCAGCATCCGCCTGGATGATGCGACGGCAACCATAGTGCGCCAGAACGCTCACCCCACATCAGGTATCAGTGGGGAGGAGAGCAGAGTAATGAAGCCAATTCATAGATGAGATTATTAGGAGGCCATGATTGGTAAGGGCCAATGGGGAATTTTGCCAGGATGCCAGGGTTACACCCCTTCTCTTTTCGAGAAACGCCCTGGGATTTTTAATGACCACAGAGAGTCAGGACCTCAGTTTTACGTCTCATCCGAAGGACGGTGCCTGTTTACAGTATAGTGTCCCCGTCACTATACTGGGGCATTAGGACCCACATGGACCACAGGGTGAGCACCCCCTGCTGGTCCCACTAACACCTCTTCCAGCAGCAACCTTAGTTTTCCCCAGGAGTTATAGACATCATGGACATGCAGGCTACATGGACATGCAGTTTTCATTGTATTTGGCATACTGTACTACTTGGACATAATGTACCCTTGACACATAGCAGCTCTATTTATACTGAGTTTTGTCTGAGTTTATTATATTCACTTTCTATTGCACTATTATCTATTATTAAGCAACCTTATTTTGTAGCTTTAATTTTGTGAGCCCCCCCCGGTGAGCTTGCAGAAAATACATTTCATTGCCAGCAACTACTGCTTCACGCTGTATTGTTGTGCATTTGATAAATAAACTTTGATTGATTGATTGACACCATCTTCATTTTTAATTCTGGAAATTACACTCATCTTTATTTACAGTCTTTATTTAATGTCTGAGAGTTGGTCGCAATCTGATGGTATTGTAGTGTTGCAATGTATTTTGTTCTTTACAAAAGCACAGAACAGTAAAAATTTAATTACTTTCTCACTATCAGAGCACTGAACAGCACAGAATAGCAAGTGCTGGACCAACTGTGCATTTTGACCTGCATTTTCAGATAAACAAAAGCCTTTTTGATTCACTTTAGATTCAAGTTTATAATGTGCATTTTTTGACCAGTGTAAACAAAAGACACCACTCTGGACTAGTAATGGCAACTGTTTGGAGAGTTGAAACATAACACAAAAGCTTCCTTTAGGCTATAATGTCACCTATTACTGAATCAAAAGTTAAATGTAAACCAACCATCTTTGTCAAGAAAATTCTTGATTATATACTATCTTTCCCTAAACAGCTGCAAACAGAAGAAGAAAAATGAACAGGAGAATTTGCAAGAGCTCAGTCCATAAAACATACTCCTGACTTAGTGAATCCTTGTGTGTATTTTATTATTGTTATATTTTGTCAAATTGTATTATCCATTTTGAAGATGCTTTCTTAGTGGATACAGTGGAGTGTTTTCTCAATCAATCAATTAATTAATGCGTTATTTATTCCAAATGGTAGCACTGGATGACCAGGCCTTTACAGGCAGTGTGAACAAGGAGTCTCTATCAGCCTTGTTCTATTGTTACAACAGTAGTTAGTACTTGAAATGGCCATAAAAAAACACAAAACCAAATGGCAAACTGAAAGTACTGATCAGTGTCCTTAAATTATTTAAACCACAAAATGACTGCATGTCTAAATGACATGGCTCGAGAAAATGAACAATTTCCTTCTCTAACAAACTGCTGGTATCCACAATAGCAAGACCTCACTATAGGTACACCAGAACTGTAGCAAGTGAGTATAGCAGATTTAACGTCCACCATTCTCATCGTCCAACACTTGAACTTGAACTTTATTGTATTACTGGTACAATGGAATTCTTACTTAAAGTCTCTCGATTGTTAAAACAAGTGTAAAAACACAAAGTGCAGAAAGTGCATCACGACAATATACAAACAAACAGTAGACAATATACAAGTAAACAAGTAAACAGTTTGAATGTAAACAATGCAGACGTGTAAACAATGACTGGAGATGTGCAATAAATAAGAAATCATAATGAGGTAGAGGGTGTAGGTGTGGTCCGAGGGGCATGGATAAATGTGTTCGCCAATCGCACTGCTTGTGGATATAAGTTACTGAAGAATCTAGTGGTAAGTGTCCGTATGCTCTTATATCTCTTGCCTGAGGGCAGTGGGGTGAAGAGCTCATGCCCGGGGTGGTGACTGTCCTCTGTGATGGCCAGAATTCTACTATGGCAGCGGTCTGCATAGAGCTGTTTAATCTATGTGAGACCACAGCCGATGATCTTATGGACTATATTGACCATTCTCTGCAGTGCCTTTCTTTCTCAAGAAGAGGTGTTGCCACACCACATGGTTGGTAATGCTGAACTGTAGTCCACAAACAGCATTGTCCACAAACACTGTCAATGCTTAACATTTGTGACCTGATACTAATTAATTCTGGATTAACCTAAGCAGACTCTCATGAGCACTGGTGGGGTGTGCACAACATTAATTTTGAAAAGCTCAGATTCTCACCTTGCTCCAATGAGGTCCAGAAGGTGCTGCCAGCGTTCATTGACTTTGCTGAGCTTGTACTCGATCTCTGATGCTTTGCTCTCATGACTGGCCTTGGCAAGCCGCTCACCCATCAGATGAAGCTGGGTCTTGTTTTCTTGGGCTACAGAGATTTCCTCCTGGTAGTCCTGAAAAAAACAGAAAGCAAAGGTTGGAAAGAGCTGGCCAGCTGATTGCAGAGATCAGTTAAAACCCAGATCAGCCCAGAAGTCACTGCAAGAGTTGATGCCTGAGATCCTCTGCTATGATGAAGTATTGTAACAGGCAATAGAAGAATCTTTCAATTCAATATGACAAGCATTTCACAATACGAGAAATGTATTCGGAGATAATTATGGTATTATTTTAAAAACAGTTTTGAACAATAAATCCTAACTTATGGCTGAAATAAAAGTTTTGAAATTGAAAAGGCTGAACAGGGCAATCTGACAAACAGATAATGACCAACTGTCCTCTGTGGATTTCTAATCATGACCCATTCACTACCAGATTTACTTCATGCCACAGCTGCTCCATATTTTAAAGTTTTAAAACAACTCTTTCAACAATTCCCTGACAAAGAACAATATACATCACTCAGCCCAAGAGGAGAAACTGTAGGGAAGATTTCTGATATCTAACCAAGTTATGGGCTGACCAACACAAATACAGGCCAGACAATCAATATTACTAACACTTAGGTACCTAGGGTATCTAAACTCCCAACAGTGTGTGTCTAATGCATGTAAGCTTGATAATTGTTTACCTTTCTGAGTTTTTCAATCATCTCCTCGATGCTGATGTCTCCATTTTGAGAGACTTTGCTCTCCATCTGCGTCAGCCACTCGCACAGCTCCTTGTTCTTCTCGTTGAACACTGCCCACTCGTTCAGCTTGTCACTCACCTGCTGCCGGCGTAGCGCGAGCTGCGGGAGAGGAGACGGAGCTGCATCAGATCGCACGCAACAGCACCGACAAGGCCTCAGTGGCCTGGCCACAGGTTTTGACTGCACTCACCATGAGATGAGACAGGAAAAGCACTGCTCTGTATAAACTGTATAATCAGTTGTTTTTTTTTTCCCCCTTTTCTGGTATGATGCTAAATAACTAAAAAAAGATATACACTTTACAGCTTGGTAATGCGTGACACACAGCTTTAAATATTGAATTCTCACATCTAGCTGCAGACACTGTGCATTATTCAGTGTTTGTACTGTACAGCAGTGTCATCCATACATATGCTACAGCAGTGCCTCTAGTTTTTAACGGTGCTTGGGAAAAAGATTAAAACGTGAACTGAGAGTTCACTTAAAAATAATTTTGTTGATAACCCCTGCCTCTCTTTAATAGCTGACGCAGGCAAGAATATCAAAAGAATAATCAGACGACGCTTTGTTACAGCAGCCTGTTGCAAAACGTCACGACAGGTTCTGTTAACAGAGGTGTTCGGCTGTAATACATTTAGAAGGGCTAACAAGATTTACATTTTAATAAAGGCATACTTCCTGTGACTTGAGATTGATCATAAACCATAGTTTTGTACTGTATTTTGCTCTTTTCAGCGTAAAGAGATCTATGAGAAAAAAGGTGAGTAATAAAAGGTGTCGGCTAACAGCTCATATCAGTCATCCAAGCTGAGTATGAATTGGATTAAATCAGCAAGAAACAGTCTCACAAGCAATCCTTCTAATGTAATACAAATAAAGATTTACTAAAATTTGGGGTAATAAGCTAAAAACATTCAGCTTCTTATGACTATTATCTGACTTATGAGCATCATTCTGACTGTGGCACTCGTATTCAGTTTAACAAGAAATACTTAAATTGTTTTTTAAGTAGTGACTGATTCAAAGGCAAACTGAAGCAAAAATGAATAATCTCCCTTCATAATATGATTAAACATGATACCAAATTACCTATTTAATGGAGGAATATACAATTACAATAAATCACACGCATAAATTAAACAGAGACTAAAAGATGGTACGCTTTCAGTCTAAGAAGGAGCTAAAAAGCTAAGATTGCTTTCAGTACTATTAAATACTGGCTCCTAAGAACATGTTATGGCACCAAAGAGCTCCTCACAGCCTCTTGAAAATTAGCTATGAAAAACTACCTGGGCAAAGTCATTATCATGTGAAACAATACACATACAGTATACTAAATTTTGATGAAGAAGACACCTTCATGTGAGGTGCATACATGAGTATTATAATGAAGCTGAGCTGCTATAAATGAATATTTAGGTTATCATCTTATGTTTTTTTAAATCTAAGAAAAAAAGGGTGTTTGACATGCAGATTTACTGCAGTTTTATCTTCCTATAATGTACTTTCATCAGTATTACGGAATAAAAAAGTTAAATCTTACCTTTTGCTCTGATTCCTCTCCACCATGTCTTTTTTTTTCTAATTTAACTAAAGCAGCTGCTAACTTCCTGTGGCTTGATCACTCATATCACACCGGAAGCAGCAAACTGAAAGAGCCGAGTTTCTAAAACCTTCATAAAGTCTTATCTTTTTGCATAAAGTTTTCTTTCTTTTTCCCTGCTCTACATACCTACGTATCAAAATAAACCCTGGATGGATCAGGGCGCACTGCCTGATGTCTTTGCAAAGCACCCTTTTCAGCTTATATATACTATATACATACACACAAAATATACACAATACGACACATACACAAAAAGAAAACGCCCAAAAGTGCGCCAAAACCTGAAAATGTTTTTTTTAAGTTTGTTTCAAAACGAATTCAACCAGCCCCCCTTTAGCCGTAGGCCTTGTATCTTTTATAACAAAGCTCAGTTTAACCATAATCCCCAAATTGTACTTAATTCAAAATATTTTCCCATAACATTTATCATCTTTAAATTGTAAAAGAAAGTACTCCTTCTTCCCTTCCTCTACTCGTAAGGCACTGTGAACACTAAAACTCTAGTGGCAACGCTCTAGTACTACAGTCTGCACGTTGTTTGTGCATGGAAAGATGGTAACTTTCAAAGTGGCACCCCAGATAAAGCAGGATTAGAAATTTGTGTCTGATCTAGACACAGCAAAAAGATTAAAGTAATCTGCCATATATCCATTTCCTAACTGCTTTACCCCGTACAGAGTTGTAGGAGTGCCTATCGGCAAGGAATCAACACAACATAGAACACACCCAGGATGGGACGCCGAACCATTGCAGTGCTCACACAGATAAAAACATACGTCAACTCACACCAGGGCCAATTTTCCCAGAAGCCAGATAACCTACCAGAATGTCTTTGGATTGTGGGATGTAACCCAAGTGAACATGGTGAGAACATGCAAATAGCACCCCAGAAGCTGAACCCAGGGCCCCAGCACCACGAGGTAGCAATGCTAACTACTATACCACTGTGCCACCCTAAAGTAATCTTGACTCTGTGATTTTTAAAAATTATTACTTATAAGTTTTGAAAGCCTTTTTTGTACAATAGTATGCAGAACAGCTGTAGTGGAGTTGACATATGCGTCACTGACGACAGCCCTGCCCCAGAGGTACAGTACCTGGTGGCACAGCTCCTCCCACTGCCGGTGCAGCAACTCAATCCGCTCCTGCAGCACTGACAGGTCATCGGCACTGATGTAGCTTGACAGGGACTCTTTCAGCAGACACAGGTGAGCAAGGTCCTCGGTCCACCCGTCAAAGGTGTTCTCTAACTCCTGCACACAGGGAAGACAAGGGGAACACAGAGTCAGCAACAGGCTGGTGCTAAAGTACAGTGAAATACTATAACCAGACATGCTGTGTATGCAGAATGGGGGCTAATTTCTTAGAAAACCTTGTCTATTTCAGTGCCTTCCACAACGCAAGCAGAGGAACTAATAGAGCATTTAACTTTATTTTGTTAATGAAAATCCACACAGTGGTTTACAAGTCGGAAACAAAACCAATCATGGTAACAAAACGATGAAGCAAGAATCTTCAACTCGGTTGCCGTTCAAATCCAAAAGGAAGAAAAGCTGATGTGAACCAGTAAAGGTTTGCTGCTGCCAGGCTTATTTTTGACAGAAAGTTTGAGCAAAGCCTTCAGTTTCTGCAGCAGTGTTGGAAGTTGACTACAATCCCTCTATCTGTATTTTGCTATTTCTATTTGCCATTTCTACATGACTATTATATAATTTTCCCCTGGGCAACCTGTGTAACAAGAAAGCTCTTGTCTTAAAATCATCCCATGAAGTTATTTTTGTATTTATTCTGGGTAGATTTAGAAGCCTGATTAGATTTTTCTTAAAAAATAGACAGTACTGAAAGACATACTGTATAGTTTTAGATTATGATCGAAGATCAATTCCAGTTTGGAGACATTTGCTTATTTTTAGTGCTGATAAAACCTAAAAACCAGAAACTTGTTTCAATATAGGTCTACACTACATATTGTAGCTATTTAAACTGCATGCTAACACCAGCAAATCTATATAAAAAATTAGTACATGTGACAGTGTAAGGATACGGTGTCATACAGTACAGTAATAACATTTCTAAATAGTTTAATGTAGATAATATTAATCTCCATTGATTTTTTACAGGTTTTTTTATTCAGTACATAACTATCAGAGTGAGTTCTGCGGGTTGCTTTACAATTAGATTTCTGAAGCAAAATGTTATGCCATAAATATCATTCCTTGATTAGTTTAATATGGCAAGAGAAAAGAAACATAGTGATAACAATACCGCACTGCTCTACATACACTATTATTAAAATATTCATCTGTGTAATATACATAATACAAAATATATAGTACACAGAACAGGAGTGTCCTTGTAATACTATGATATACCAATAAGCTGGTTTACTTACAGTACTCCAGTAAGTCTATGGGACACCAGTGTTTTCCTGTGTGAAAAGCTGATCTGAAAGCTCTGTGAGCTCAGGCCAGGGTTACCTTGCAGCGGATCTGTTCCGTGTGCAGCTCATCGTGGTGGTCAGGCAGAGGCTGGGAGAGTTTCTTCTTGAAGGCTCGGAGCTTCTCCAGGGAGCCCCCGATCCCTTTCTCACACCTCTCCCAGTCCTGAAAACACAGCAGCACAGACACGTCCAGTCAGACCGCGACAAGGGAACAAACCACCGGCTCAGAAAGGAGCAAACTGGAAATCCTGCAGCGGCATTCTGAGCTGTTAGTTTCCCAGACAACTAGCTCCGTATGGGTGAGGCAGTGCTGCGGATATCCAGTGCTGCCTCTGCTGTCCTTAAAGGTTGCTGAGACAGAAAATGCAGGATCAAGCAATAAATACTTAAGCAGGGATCCAGCAGCATAATACAGTGCTCTTTGGAGTTTGCTTCTAGGGTATAATGCACACAGAGCTAAATTGAAGCCATCTCCACAGTAGACTGTTTCTTGGAGGATATGGTTACATTAATCACAGTTTTTGCAAGAACTGTTGTTTTTTTCACAGCCAGACACTCCACTCTTGTATAATTTTGTTTAGTCCCTGACCAACTGTTATTTTTAACAGCATTCCATAGCTACGCCTGACACATCCACCATTAGTTGCAGCCAGTGTGAGCTTGCTTTTAGTGCTGCATGCTTGATCTTTTTCTATTTCTAGCAGTTTAACATCGCCTTGACTGAGATGTGTAACTCTGTGAGGTGGTGCAGAAGCTGAAAGGTGGAAAGCTGTATATTTAAAGTTGTTAAATTCTTGCCTCCTATAATAAATGGTATCTTGTAACACAAGGTCACAAGATGTTCTTATTCCAGAGCATCAGAGTGGAAGGCAAGTAGGTGGAGAACAGAAATCTCACCTTTAACATTGTATGTGTGGGGTGAGGTGGGGGGGCATTGACTGTGCAACCGGAATGACATACAATATGCAACTTATACATCATTTAGTAGAAATACATTTGGCATGTACAATAGATTCTTGTAATGATATTAACAACTTTGTCATGCCAGTATGCCATGCCTTTGTACAATAAACATCATTGGGGGATTTGCAGAGGCAACTGCAACTTTATTTCAGTTAGGTAGTTTTGCACACCATTTTAGTCATTATGGTCTAGTCATTTGTCATTCCTATCTGTCATAGAGTTTTATGAAATAAAACAATTTTCATGTATCCAAAACCAAAAAACAACCAATCTGTTCAGGACATTGGTATACAGTTCTTTTTAAAAATGGCAGATTGCTTTAGCATGCCCCTGTTTTGACACGTTAGTCTCCTTCAGTTTTAAAAGTATGTGGCCCCCAAGAGCAACAGCGCATCCTGGCTCTTTGCCGGCACTACTTTGGACACTCTAGGTTTTTCAGGTCTTTGTGCAAATGGCACCTCCTTTCTTCTCCTTGTGATTTAGAAGCCAGATTTAGTGCTTGATAAACAAATGACTCATAAATTTCCCCATGTTAAGAGACTGACTCACTCAACAAAAGCACAGAAAAGAAAAACAAATAAATCACTGAGAGAACTGTGCAGAAATTGTTGTTGAAGACAAACAGTACAGATGCAAAGACACACATTACAGAACAGCATCACTACTCAGCCGATTGGATTTTAATATCATAGCCATTATTGCCATTGACCATTAATTCTCCTCCTTACTGTATGTACAACATATTTCAACAGTAGTATTCCCATTTGAAAGCAGTTCATTAGAAAGAACCTATCCTGGACCTGCTACACTGTAGTATTCCATAAATGCAGGATGTATTCAAAGAAAACAATTTCTGTCAATAAGTGGACCCATTCCCCTCAAATAACATTCATTAATATGATTATTCATAAACCACATCAGCTGGGTACATTCAGAAGAAAGCCTCTGCGTGCCGAAGAGCTTTCTGCTGAGTAGAGTTACCTTGAGCAGTGTGGCCAGTTCCCTCTTCTGCTCATCCAGGCGGATGTTGGCCATCTTCCAGCGCTCTTGAATCTCAGTGAGCTCCGTGTGCAGTGCAGCCTCGGCCTTGCTGTCTGCAGACAGGAGGAGCTGCCGTCCGGCCTCCACTGTCAAGATGTAGCTCCCCTGCTGGCGCTGGAGCACCTTTTCCTTCAGCTGCAAGGGAAGGGTCATCAGCAGGAGGAAGACCCTTCTGAGGATATCCCCCCCCTCTAGTCTGTGCTGGTTATCGAACCCGGGGCCCCCACTCAGCCTGCTTGCCTGCATGTCAAGCTATGGGAACTCAACTAGCCCTGTTGGTAGAGCATGAGACTCAATCTTGGGGTAGTAGGGTTGTGTCCCATGTCAGGCGCAAGGGTTTCTAATAACCCATACTGGGCAGCAGCAGTATGGGGGGGCAGTGTTAGTGGTATCTGTGTGCAAGAAAGGCCTGGCAATCTACTTCTGTATCTTGCCATGAAAACTATGGATAGTGACGATGGAACTGTCCATAGGGTTGCCATGAGACAATACCGACTTGACGGCACTCAACCACGACTGTATACATGGTATGTTCAAGTTCAAATTTAAAACAAAGGAAGGATTAAAAAAGCCAAGCTGGTAAAAAGGATTTTTGTATTTCTTTAACAACAGATTGCTTCATATTTTTGCCCGTGTCTTTGCATCACTGTGGCACTGTGTACCTGAACTTGGTCCAGCATGGCTCTGGCCTGCTGCAGAGGCACTGCTGTTCCCTCCTGCCGGCTCTCGGCCTGCTGGGACACTTCGACCAGCCACTTCCGCAGCTTCTCCGCCATCTCCCTGTAGCGCTGCCACTGCCGGACCAGGCTGTCAATAATGCCCCTCCTTTGCTGGGCCCGGCGGATCACTCCCTGCCACTGGTTACTGAGCAGCGCCAGCTTCAAGTTGAACTCGTCCCTGGGGGGATGGTGTCAGAATGAGAGATGGTGAGCCCCCACGCCAACAACAGAGACCCACTGCAGAGCATTTAAGCAATAGAAATGACAAATACTGCGGTCTTAATGCAGAAGAACACACAGTCTGTTTAAAACAGAAGTAAGATGTTTCATAATTCTAACATTTCTCATTTTCAAATGCTATTTGTAATTTATCACTTTCAGGGAAGTGTCTTATGTAAAAAAAAAATATATATATATATACAGGGCTGTAGCAATAAGGTAGAAATAAGGTAGAGTAAATAAGATAAGGAAGAACTACTACCAATGTAGGAAGCAGTCTCAGCTGACCTGCTACAAAAGGTTTTGTGTAAATACTGTAGGTTCACATGTGGTGCATCAGTTGATTAATTACTTAACTGGTGCTGGTGGAGGGCTGACAGCCACAATCGCAAATGGGCTTATTTTAGAGTAGTTTAGTACGTAAAAGGATTTAAGGTTGATTGTTGGTTAATTTAGATAGAGCTTTGTTGTACATAAAGGTTTAATTTTGGTTACATCAATTCTCCTAGCACAAATCTCGGCGTTCCATGTACTCAGGGCTCACAACTCGCTGGATTAGAGGTTGGCGTGTCACGAGGGTATTTCTTGTTTCTTGTTTATAAGCAGAGCAGCTCTTTTGCTTTTTGATTTCAAATTCCCCATCAGCTGCAGCCTCATGTGTACCTGTCGTCCACCTGTCCCTGTTCCAGGAGCCTCTGTCCGTCACCGATAATGGAGTGCAGGATCTGCTGGCGGCTAAACATCTCTGCCTGGAACAGCTGTGCATCACAAACACAAACTCTCAATCAGCCAGAAAGATAATATAGACCAACTTTATCGCAATATCAGTACCAGTAAAGCACACTATAATTGTGTGGCTAAGAAGTACATGGTAAATACATAACTGCAATCCTCAATGTTCAATTGTATTGAACTTTAAAGCACTTTTTGTTTGTACAGTTCATTGGAATTGAACGGTTCAATTTCAGTACGGTTCAATTTTTGTCTCAAAACAGTGCTAAAATTCTTAACCTGATCGTCAGAAAAATTGCTGTGTCCCTTGCAAAAACAGAACATCATGCCTCCCTATTTTTGATTACTGTGGACATTTTTTAATATAAGCACTGGTTTCAAGCACTGTAAAAATACTGTGTCCAGCAGAACATCTACACTGTGGAGACAGGAGTCTTTGGCTCCTGTGATTTCCCAGCCGTGACAACACGGCTCTCTCACCTCGTGTGCCCTCTGTTGCTCTAGCAGGCTCTGGTAATTTCCAGAGATGTCTACAGCCAGCTTCTCCTCAGTCTGCACCAGGAACTCCATCCAGGTCTCACATTTCTCCAAGAAAGTCTGGTGCTGCAGCAGGAAAGCTTGCAGTTTGCTTCAGGGAGAGAAGCACAAATTACAGCTCCACAGGTTAAAAAATGGTTTTCCTTATTTCCAAGGAACAATAACATTAGTATATGGTATATAGATAATATTCTATAGGTACTCAAAAAAAGATCCATGTTTATTCTGACTTTTAGTAGGAGCTCTGCCAACTGTTGGGCTCGGCCTTTGCTGAATTCAAGAAACATTCAAGAAAAAGTCAGCAAAGGCTGAGCCCAACAGAATAAATAACAATTAAGTTATTTTTTACATCGCATAATACCTTACAAAATTAAAGTATTGGCAAAGATTTCTCGTATTTCACTAAAGTGTTGTAGCTCTCTATGATTCATTTCACTTTAACTAGGCTAAAATAAGCATTTTCCATCGTATATACAGCACAGTAGTTCTCTTGAACTCTTAAGTATTTGAATATTTCTCAATGCACTGCATACCTGAATCTTTCAGTGGTCTGGGCTGAAGTCATTGACCAGGTTCTGTTCAGGTTCTGCATGCGTTTGATCTCCTTGTCATTAAGGGGCAGCCTGTAACCCAGCTCATTCAGACGCTCCAGGTCAGGAGCCATGCTGCTAAACTTCAGCATCTGCCTCTGAATGACACCGAACGGCCTTGGTCAGTCACAGAATCATACTTAACGCATCCTCATTAAACTATAACACAATCTAAAATATTCAATGCGGCTACTCCTTGAGCCTCATAAACTTTATCAGACATTGTTTCTTTTCACAGGGGCAGTATTAGAGAGCAGTGTTATCACATGCAGTACAGTACATTGTAGAAAGAATTGTTTTCTTTTAAAGAATTTGTTCATCTTTCTAGGAGAGATTAAATCTACTGCCAGTTATAATTATACAAATCTGCATTTCAAGCAATTTTCAATGCACACAACCAAAACATAAAAACAAAGTTAGTGACCTGATTATCCCAAATAGCCAAAAGTCTGCTCCACTTTTTATCTGTGTTTTATCATATCTGTATTATCTGTGCCAGGGGTGCCTATTTAATAGCAGGCCTTTGGAGACCTAAAACTGTACATCTTTCAACAAATAAGTTATCTTAATCTCTTTCTATGGTTACTGATATTCTCTCTCACTAACTTAGAACAAAGGTGAGATGAAGAAAGTAACAAATTGAAATATTGTAAATGTTCATTAAAAAATTAAAACTATGAAAGAGAGTCTATTCAGAGCCAGAAATGTGTTGTTCTGATTTCAGCTGTTCCTCTTTCATATAAGCCCTTTTGAGCACCTTTCATATAACCTCCCTCTCGTACTGTATCAGTAGTTTTCCTTCATTAATGGTTTTGGGTCAACATACAGGTGTGCTCCTTTTATCCAATGTCAACACCTGTTTATACAGTCAGTGGATACAATTTGTGGTGAGGTCATGCCCTTATCAACCAATTTACCTTCTTCTGGCATGTCTAGCTCAGTTAATATCTGGGGATATTTTGAAACACAAGTGCTGCTTTCCAGCACATGAGATAATTCCTGATAATTAAAAAACTGATATCATGCTTGCACCAACAACCAACCAACAATATATATATACACACGTCAGTTTCTTATTTGTTTGCGGATATACCTGATAAAATTTTGTATTAAGTATATATTTACAGTGTTACTTTATAGAGTACATGTGTATTTTTAGGATTTGTTTCAAGATACTTGAAATCCATCCAACTCAGCAGTCCGGTGCAGCCCTTTACCTTGAGCTCCTCCATCCTGTTCTGAATTAAGCAGAGGTCAGAAGAGCGGCTGGGATCCTGTCCTTTCAGAATTTCCTCAGCCTCTAGGATCCAGCCCTCCAGGTTGGCCAGCTGGCTGCTGAAACTCTCATAGTCCTGAACGCCAGCCTGGAAAAATGCCAAAAGCATTCTAGCACTCCATTCTAGACATTTCCCCAACCCTTTTAAGTACACAATCAAGTATTATTGATGATTAGATGTAGTATTATTACAATAACAGTAGTTTCTTCTCGATTTGATATTCTGTTATTTTTTGACGAACAGAAGGAAGAATTCAAAATATGACAGTTACTGTAACCTGTGGACTGTTAGACATTTTTTCTTTATGAATTATCAGAAATGACAAATATTTTCGGAACCCTGGTACTACTAATTCAAATTTTGTGTGGAGAATGTGCAATTTTCAAAGTAGTACAACTAAGCACATTTGTTCTTAAGTCTTTGCTATGGTCAATATATTAAGAAAACAGCACCGTATTATAAAAATAGTGAACTCAACCAGAACTCAACAGGATTTGACCATTTTTTAAAACTGAATTTTGATTTATCTTGTGAGTGAAGTATCAGCTTAGGGAGTTCATTCTTCCATTTTCTAAACACACCATTCAACACAAGCTCACAGGGGGAGTCAGAGCCTATCCCAGCAAACAACAGGTGCAAGGCAGGATGCACCCTGGACAGACCCTAGTCCATCACAGGACACACACACACACACACAAACACACACTCATACTAGGGGCAATTTTTCCATAAGCCAATTAACCTACCAGTATGTCTTTAGACTGTGGGAGGAAACCCACAAGAACCCAGGGGAGCATATAATCTCCACACAGACAGCTCCCCAGGTCCAGAATAGAACCCAGGAACCTAGTGCTGCAAGGCAGCAATGCTAACCACTGCACCACCATGCCACTCCGCTTATAGCATCTGCATTTTTATTTAGTAAAATTCTACTTCCTTGAGTAACAGCAAAAATGTTTAATTAAGCAAAGCAGTATGCAAAAGATCACTCCCTGCAGTTCCTTTGTGGCACAAGAAGAATATTTCCAAACCAACCTTTTAATGGGTCTATTTCAGCTACAGGAAACTGCTTTGCTGTATCTGTATTGCCAGTCTTACCTGCAGTACCCCCTGTTGCCTGGAGAGGGCGTGCTCTACCACATCCAGGCGTTGTGACAGGGAGAGATGGTCAGAATGAATAGCGGCCACAGCTGAGGAGTCCACCTGCTGCTTCAGCCTCTCTCCCAGCTCGTGGAGGAGCAGCAGGGAGTCCTGGACTGATTTCTGAGCATGTAGCACATCCTGCCACAGGAGCAAGCAGAGCAGGCCGTTACCGCTTACACAAGGCAAAGGAAGGTTAGATATGGTGTACTCCAGCTACTGCAGAGTGATAGAAAACTACTGTATTTCTCAATTACAAGACATTTTTCCAACACACTGATTTTTTTCACCATTCTTTAGGCAGACAGTTTCAAAATTCCTTACACTTGCCCAGTTTACCCCGTATACTGTAATACCTATCTCCATTCTATTAATGATACGTCAAATATTTACATTAAACTACACATGACATGTTTACCAATAGTACTCTGCACTCTAGAGTATGACACCATTTCTGATCCCAAAGTGTGACAAATGAGCTGATCTGGTTCATTTACACTTCTAATAGAGAATAGAGACATAATGTCCTGTTTAAGATAGATTCCATTAATAACTTTGTCCATTGCTCAATGGTTAACATTATCATGGTAATTATTCAATATGGGGTTAGAGTTATTGTGCTGCTAGCTGCATTTGATAAATGTCTAAATAATTATAGCGAACATTTGAGTTTATGTCATGTCAAGGCCTAAAGCAACATGTTTTGTGTAATGATCACCCTATTATTATTAATATTATTATTATATTTCATTGCCTGTGACAAATAATATGACCAATATGCAACTTTCTGCAGAGAAAACAAATTGCCAATAAGAATGAACAGCAAGTGCATAAGTGGAGAAAGGCAGAGATGAAAAGGCTGGATTGTTTGAGGCACATCCTTTGCTGCCAGCGTATCCTGGACTGCACCACTGAACAAGAAACCATCTGACTGTGTCTCAGAAGCTCTGTTCTTTGTGCAGAGATGTAGATTTGAAAGTACTGTGGGACAGGAATGAAAGCTTTCATTGAAAGACAACAACAGCTTTCATTTCAAAAGACAGCAGCTACAGTTGTTTGAGCACATTAAAATAAAGTGGCAGGCATTAGTCTGACCAAATATGAAACACAGTCTAGCAGAGAATATGGTTTGAAATGGTCAAGAATTCACTTCAGCAAAACTGGATTTCCAAGGATAGCTTCAAAACTAAAGGCCACAAATATCAAAACATAACCTAATTACTTGCTCAAAGCGAATACTGCATTTATTTCTGTATCCGCCATACAGTAAGATTGGGAATCCAGGGAAGATGTGTGTACAGAAAACTAAGTGAGGTGACTGCAAAACATCTTGAAACAGTAAAGCCATGGCAAGCTTTACTGTACCAAGCACTAGGTGATCTGATTGTTCCTTCTGTCTCTTGCAACAAGAACAGTACATTCCCCCAGAGCTGAACTGCTGAGCTTCTTACTGGTGCTCCACTCAACTTACACTGCAGTCCTGAATCCAGGCGGAGACCTCCTCATCAGCAATGTCTTTGCTGGTTGCCGTTTTCAGTAGCTCGTTGGCGTGCTCCTCCTGCCGCAGCACAGCTGAAGAGCACTGGCCGTACACCTCCTTGTACCTCTGCCACAGCTGCAGCAAGGCCCTGCTGGCCTTCAGCTGCTCTGCGATCTCCTCCAGCAGGCAGTTCCATCTGACAGGATACAGTTGGAGCATTTGTCATTTTTTCATTTGCAGTACATCAATACAGTGTATTTAATATTTCCACTTGCTGTACAAACAAAACAGCCACATACGGTACAAGTGTAGAAAGGGCTACAAATACTTGACTAATTGAAGTCATATTTAGACAGGATATCCACAAAGGTTGCACAGTGGCTTCAACAAGATGTTAAGGTGTTTCTGACAGTTTGGTAAATCCTTTGCAGGTTATTAAAATATATAGTAAACTGTTCCTATACTATAGTTTTCAGACAGTGTCTGAAATCTATATTTTCTGTGTACAGGAGGACTTATGAATCAGGTCATGACTACATAAGAAGTTATATTCTGGTTTCTTCACTAAAGCACCAAGGGGCTGGTACTTGTGAAAAACGCCTGCACAAAAATGCCAGTTGCCATTCTTATAAGGTCAAACTACTCAAGAAGGCTTAATAAGTGTAAACAGTTGGTCTCCTGGTACTAGTCTACTTTAAAAGCATGTGTCCTGACAAGCAGGTGGCCTTCAGTTCTGTGTTTACCTCATGTTCACATCCTTCAGAGAGTTGTTGAGAGTGTCTGCGACAGATGGGTGGCACTCCTTCAGCAGCTGGTGTGTGACAGAGCCAAATTTCCTCAGGCTGCTCTCCTGCTTCTCCAGCTCCTCCTGAAGATTCTAGTGGAGGCAGAGACACAACAGCAAAGCTCAACACAAACTTGGAGAATACCACAGCTACTACATTAAAGAAGTATGCACAAAAACGTATTATGAATGCCACTAAGTTACATTCGTGAGTCTAGAAGATTTAGAACAATATAATTAAGGAAAAAAAATGTTTTGGATCATATTAAATACAACAAATGCTGTGGTAGATATCATTATATTATTCATGCATAAGCTAAGGACTTATAGTAGTTAACATGAAAACGGAGACACCATCCTAAGACTGTACTGTACTAAGGTTGAAGGGCCTACAAAACAATGTATTTTTTAAACCCAGAATGAGAGTAGATTTCTGATAAAGTAAAGTAAAGACCAATTAAACACTGAAAAGTAGAAAAAGAATAAACACTACTAAGAATGAGGCTGAGAATTAAGAATAAGAGAAGACTGAAATCTTTAAATAGAGATGGAAAGAAAACGGAACTCAAATTAGATTTTCTTTCTACCTGGAGGTTTTCCACTTGAACGTTGACGGCCTCCAGAGAGCCAGTGAGAAGGCGAAACCGAGACACAGAGTACCTCCCCTCCATCAGGTAGCCATGGATCTCCTCTGAGGCTTTCTTGTACAAGTTCCACTGGTCCAGCACTGACTTCAAACTGATCTTCAGCTGTCCAATCTGCAATGCAAGGCAAACAGATTGAACCTTCTCTGAACATCAGAATAACACACTTCACACTCTCACCTTTCTCTGCTGCATTATGAAATATAGATCACTTTATTGGCCAAGTAAGTTTTCACTTACAAGGAATTTTACTTGGTGAGTTGCTCATACACTATACACATACAGACATACCATATATACATAGACACATAAAACATGATAAAACACGACATACATTTCAATTGCACTTCAAGAATGTGTCCGAACTCTACATACTGTACATGTGATAACCCCATACATATTTGTAAATGATAAAAAACTGTCCATAATAAATATCCATATACAGATAATATTATTAATGTACGTAATGCCATAGTTGTAAACTAAGTAATCAATATTCAATTTTAATAAAACAAATTTTAGTAATGTTGAGTGATTAATAGGAGTGCTTAATAAGAGTCACTGCCTGGGGAAAAAGGCTGTTTTTGTGTCTTGTGGTCCTGGTGCTAATTAACCTAAATCTTTTCCCTGATGGGAGACATTGAAAAGTATGATGGCCAGGATGAGAGGAGTCAGCAATCATCCTGCCAGCACGCTTCTTAGTCCTGGAGATGTAAAGGTTCTGTACAAAACGTGCATCAGCTAGAGTATCGATATATGAATCAAACAATATGTGAAATATGTTTTTTGTTTTACTCAAGTACTGGAATAAAAATCCAGGAGCAAGTTACTTGACAACTATTTGTAATGGAGTCAACATTTATGCTATTATTCAATTCAATAAGAGCACAAATACACACACTCATAAATAACCTTCATCATACCAGGTGATCCAGATTAGCCCAGCTGTGATTGAGCCCTTGCAGTGTTTCCATAACAACATTACAGGCTTCTTCTTTTGTCTTCTGTATCAGAGAGCAGCCACGTTCTTCCACTTTCTCAACATCCTTTTCCTTCTCCTTGACCATCTCCTCAAGCTCCTGCATAGAAGCAGCATTAACAAGGAAAATTGCAAGACCACTGCTGCAGAGTTTCAGATAGCTAATCACATTTTCACTTTTGGTTAGTCTCTATGAAAAACATACAGTACAAATAAAAATAATTGAATCCATTTACATAAAACTTACTTTTAATCATTGATTATACATGTGGTATTTGCCAGAATATCGTCATTTGAAAAAAGCATTGCTCAGAATTTTTTGGGGAAAAAAGTTAAAGTAGAATATCTAGCATCTGTGGACTATGCATAATAATACCTGTAAACTTTCTAAGTACCGTGCTCTTCAACACTTAAGAATGATGAAACTTTATTATAAGTTAACCTGTAAGAAGGTGAAATCAGGAAATTAAACTAAATTTCAAATTCTTTAAATTTAAATTATGCCAATTTATTGAGACAACCCAGTCCCTTCAAAGTAAGCAAATAAAATAATTTGTGGAATTACACTGGTGTGCTCGGTAGATCAAACATAAATGATAAATATACATTTATAACTCTTGTTTCGAGTTTTTTAGGCGTCAATGAGTGAAATGCACTATTTGTGCTCACCTGGCAGTCTTTCAGTGCATTTTGGACAGAGGCCACATCTTCAATCCTGTGCTTCTTCTTCAGTCTTTCCTCCTGTGCAGTAAACCAGGTCTTCAGGCTCTGCACGCTGCTCTCGTACTCCAGCCATGACTCCAGCAAGCCCTCCAGCAGCTGGATCTATTGACAAAGTCAGGGCAATTGAAAACCTACCTTAGTACAATCTAAAATCATGACTATCACTTCAGAATCTAGAGCTCTGAAATATTACAGGGACAATACAGAACCTTCCTAAAGTAAACCACAGTTTGTGATATATTCATAGCTGAGGATCTTGTTGTTTTATTTATAAAAATTAATACAGTAAATACAATATACATCTTCCAAATTACGTAAAAAGTAGTAATAAAATTACAAACATCTTTACAAATTGAAGTTGTGTTTTCACTAAAGAAATGAATATGAAATAAACGTGACTAAACTAAATCCTCCTCCTCCACTTGTTTTACATTGTGTTACTTTGTAAAATGGACCTTAACTTACAGTAGGTAAATACAGTAGGCGAAGAATGAAACCAGTTAAGTAAAGGCTCTTTTAAAGAAGGTTTTTTGTTTGGACTTGAAGGAGTTTAGAGAAGGTGACTCTCTGATATCCTTGGGGAGAGAATTCCAGGGCATGGGGGCATAACAGGAGAAGGCCCTGTCACCCATACAATGTATAAGGACTTGGGGGACAGGTAATAGACCAGAATTAGAAGAGCAAAGGTTGCGAGGTGGGGAATTGGGCAGTAATAGTTCAGATAGGTACTGAGGTGCAAAGCCATGCAGAGCCTTATACTGTACAGTAGGTGAGCATGAGAATTTAAAGTCTACACGGAATTTGACAGGAAGCCAGTGCAAAGACTCCAGGATAGGAGCAATGTGAACACTTTGGCTGCCTTTGGATTCTGGCTGCCGAATTTTGGACATACTGCAGTTTGTTCAATGTAGATTTGGATACCCCAGTGAGTAGAGCATTACAGTTGTCAATTCCGGAAAAACACAAATGTGTTGATCAGCTTTTCAGCCACAATTAGTGATAGCATAGGGCGTAGTATAATGATATTTCTGAGGTGAAAAAAAGATGGTTTGACAATATGCTGAACATGTGGGTTGAATGTTAAGCCAGAATCAAATATCAAACCCCAAGGTTTTTCAATTTAGACTGAAGCTCAAGTACAGAACCATCTACAGATAGGGTTACAGGATTGGCTTTACAAAGTTGATGGGGATGCCAATAAGAAAGACTTCAGTCTTGTCACAGTTAAGAAAACTTTGAGTCATCCATGTTTTTATTTCAGAGATGCAATTAGACAGAATTGAGAAAGCCACACCAGTGTCAGGCTTGGTATGGATGTATATTTGAATATCATCAGCGTAGAAATGATAGCTGAGGCTATGTGATCTTAAAAGCTGACCAAGTGGAAACATGTAAATGCTGAAGAGCAAGAGGCCCAGTATTGAGCCCTGAGGAACACCCGAGTTAACAAGAACAATGTCAGACCCATAGCAATTAAGAGAGACAAAGTGACAGTAATCAGTGACGTAAGGCTTGAACCTTTTGAAAGCAGTGTAAGAAAATCCAAACGCACGTCTCAAGACGAGAAAGAAAGATGTCATGGTCAACAGTGTCAAAAGCAGCACTGAGATCAAGAAGGATGAGTATAGACAGAGAACCAGAATCGGAAACTATTAGAAGATCATTAGTGACTTTGACCAGGGCAGTTTCTGTGCTGTGAAGTTGACGGAACCCAGATTGGAGGGGTTCGAAAAGGTTACTTGTCATGAGGTGGTTATGTAACTGAAATATGACAGCACATTCTAGAATCTTTGCAAGAAATGGTAAGTTGGAGATGGGGCAAAAATTGTTTAGATTGTCAAGAGCCATATTAGCTTCTTTCGGCACGGGGTTAGTGGCAGCAGGTTTGAGGACCGCTGGTACAAATCCAGTGCTCAAGGGTTCATTTAGTTAGTTTACAATGTTGAAGTTTAAAATCTGATTAAAGAACAAGATCCCATAACACTGTTTCACTGTTTTGTGAAATGTCTTGCTGTGAATTTCAATTACAAATGTAAATTTTGGAACTTAAGCTTGGGGGCAAAATGGAAAAGGGATAACCAAACTGATTACGCCGTGAATGGATTACCTTCTCGGTTATCAGGCCCTGGAGGATCTGCCAGCGCCTGTTCATCACTCCAAGTCTCTCTGCAAAGTCAGTTTTATCACTGCGCTTACTCTCCACATCCTGGCTTATCTGAAGGACTGACTGGTTCACAAAATCCACAGTCAGCTGTTTGCAGTTGATATCAATCTTAAAGCCCTAGAAAAAAAGGCAGCATAATGACGAATTAACATTTACAAATGAAAGGAGATCGATTGGTCAATATACTTAAGTTGGTTTTTAGCAGTTATTCGATCCTGGATCTCATCCAGTTGCTTCTTGAAAGAAATGAGGGCATTGGCATCAATAACACAGCCACTCCCACTCCCTGTTGTGTAAAACACTGCTCCTGGTCTCAGTTTTAAATGATAATTTCCACTTCTATCCTTTGGTTCATGTTTAACTGTTGAATTTGAAATAGTCCAATAGGTTGACTTACAGTATACTGTATGTATATACAGTATATACTGTATGTATATACAGTATACAGTATATACAATTGTCCCCATCATTGTGGGGTTTTTCTTTGAGCCTAAGAATGTATACAGGGATTCAAGAAACTAGGCTGCTATTTACTGTATATATTCAGCTGTATCGTTTTTGCATTATAATGGCCAAAAATGTGCACAGTTTTGTACCATTTTAACATTTAGTGTCTCTTGATTTAAATTTTATGCTGCATATCCTAACAGTCCATTGGCCTTTTTATTTCTTACTTACATAAGGTCTATGTAAGCTCATGCTCAGCAAAATGGGTACATTATGTAACAGCGCTTGTCTATATTAAATGCCATCTTCCAGGTGTTTACTCAGTCCTAAGTCTTTAGGAATTTATTTATGCAGCTTTACCAAAATTGGAAAATTGGCTAATATGGGAATAGTCTGTGAATTTGTCTAATTTGCTAATAATAGTTACTAAAAGTTTTTTTTTCCCTCATAATGGAAGCAGAACGGTTTTGGTGCCACAAAATCATTACCCATGCATCAATTAAACTCATAAACCCATTACACAGCTAAAGAGTAAATAGACCAAAGAAACTGCTTTATACAGTTTTATCTTGCACATAGGCTGTGGAAACAGGAACTCAAAACTCTGTTCAGCACTTGAAATATCTTGGTTTTAGAAGAAAAGTACCTTATACATCTGTAGGTACCCTTGAATGGCCTCTGATCCGACTACACCTTTGATCTTCTCCTCATCTTCCTCAATCACTTTCTCCATCTGTGAGATCCAGCTCATCAGTTCTGTGATAGCATGGCGAGATGGCAGCTTCTCCATTTGCAGCTATAAAATACAGCTAAAGTCAATTTTTCTAGCTGTACACTAGTTTGAACATGAAAGTATCCTGCAATTACAGCTTGTCTCAGTCCAGATACAGACTTTATCAACGTGTTTATCCTCAAATTTACAATGCAATACTTCCAACACCTCGTAACACCTTCAACTATATTGTTGATTTAATAAGGCTATTTTTACTTTAAAAAAAAAGAATATAAACCTAATTTTTTAAATGTACGCAAAAACAACTATATCTACAGTAAGTGGTCAAAATTTTATGTCAAAAGAGTAAAGCAGCCTAAAAGCCTGTCAATGTAAAAGCGAACAGTATCCGAAGACAAGCCTAGTGGTCTGCTTGAGATGAAGAGGCTGTTGGGTGTGTTTCAGCCATACCTGATGGAGCTTCTCCTGCACCACAGGGATGCGTGTGAGCAGCTCGGCCCACTGCGTGTCAACCTGAGCCAGGGCCGAGCGCAAGCCCGCTGTATCCACCTTCTTCAGCCGCTGCAGCTGGTTCCCTGTGCTCAGCACCGATGACTTCAGAGACGACTTGGCGTCCACTTCTTTGGAGAATTCCTGCAGCAGGAAGGGAAGAGAACACGTAAATGCAGAATTACAGATGGGTGAGGATAAGGACAGTGATGACAGCAAAAAACCTTCAGAAAACAGGGGATGGAGTGTTTTCTGTCAATGCACATCAGAACTAGTTTAGCTCAAAGGGAAGGTGGAGTGTATAAAACATACCCCTGTACTGTTGTAATTATTTAGTACTGCTGTTGGTTCAAAGACTGCAATAAGAATGCTAATGCTTGAATTTGTTTCCCCCAAAAAAATTTTGCAATACTAAAACACTTCTTTTTTCAGGTATTTTCAACCATGGTCTCAGCCAAATATTGTCACAATCTGTCAAGATTAATGTATACTTCTGCCACCAAATGAAAAGAAAACTACAAAAGCTATAAGAGTGATTCACTCCAGGACTACTACTACTAATAATAATAATAATAACAACAGCACTTTATTAACCCTTTACAATTTCTTGCATTAGGAATTATCTTTTTGCATATCCCAGCTTGCTCTCCATGAGACACACAGATAGGGAGAGAGCCTGGGGTCGGAGTGCAGGGTCTGCTATTGTATGGCACCCCTGGAGCAGTTAGGGTTAAGGGCCTTGCTCAGGAGCCCAACGGAATAGGATTCCTCTGCCAGCAGTGGGACTTGAACTGGCAACCTTCCAGCCACAGGAGCAAATGCTTAGCCACAGAGCCACCGCTCCGCCCTACAGGTGGAGGCCTCTGCTGTATTCTGTTGTATTACAGTACTATACAATACAATACTAACAACAGCTAGAAGAACAAAACTTCACCTAAAAGAGAAATGAATCGTGTGGGTCTGCCTCAATCAGACCCATTTTTGTACCACAAAGCACAATGCCAAAAAACTATCAGAAAACAGATTTACAAAAGACTTACCAGGAAAGCATTAAGGTGGTCTCTAACAGTCTCTAGCTCTTGAGGTACTGTAACTGATTGAGTCGCCCAGAACTCCAAACGGTCCAGAGCTGACCGGAGCCACTGACCCAGTTCAGCTGACTCATTCTGGTACCTGAGCACCAATACAAAACACAAGTGATGATATGTGAGCAATCACATTTGGTAAAGACTTTTTCATTACATGAATAAAATTTTACTTGATCCTTTGCAGCCTACGCATACTGACACAGCTCCCTACTTGAACTACTTAAACAGAAATAATACGTTAGCAAACATGAACTGTCCATCCATTCATTATCTAACTGATTTATCCAATCATGTCATAGGGAGGCCAGAGCCTATCCCAGCAAGCAACAGGTGCAAGGTGGAATACACCCTGGATGGGATACCAATCCATCACAGGGACACAGATATAAGCACACACACTCACACCAAGGCCAATTTTATGAGAAGACTATTAACCTATGGATATGTCCTTGGACTGCAGGAAGAAACTAGACCACCTGGAGGAAACCCATGAGGTGAACATAAGGAGAACATACAAACTCCACACAGATAGTTCCCAGCAACTGAACGCTGGTTCCCAGCACAGGGAAGCAACAAATCTAATCAACGCACCACTGTGCTACCTTCGAGGAAGTGCTGACAGCAAATCAAAGTTAAACAAGGACCATGAAAATAATTCAAAAGCTGATCCCTCCGCAATTTCCAGCACTGAGTCAAGCCAGACCTCACCTTGTCCAGTGCTTCAGGATTGTTTCCAATCTGTGCAGCTCCTTGTTGACTTTAGTGGTATTGTTGAGCCAGTGCTCTCCAAGCTGCGTCAGCTGACTCTCCAGATCAGGACAGCACACGGACATCAGAAGCCTCTTCCCATCATCCAGCACCTGGTAGAGCTGGTGCTGGTGCTCAGTCAAACTTGTCTTCAGCCGCTGACCAGGGGGAACAAGGAAGAAAGTGTGATGAAACTGCATCTGATTAATGTCTCCATTGTCTCCACATCTATCATCTCATGGTACCAAAGTGAGGAACCGTTTTACTGTTGGATGTTTCCTCCAAAGTTGTAGTTAAAATAAAAACAAAACACTTGTAAGATTATTTTTGATAGTAAAGGCATAGACAAATAGAACTGTTTTCTCTTCATGGAAAACAATCAAAACAATATTACCATGGAATACAGTAAATTAAGTTATCTGTCCATACAGTACATGTCTAATAATGACCTGTGCATAAGAAATTATGTAAATACATATAAATCAACACATTTTAAATAAAATTATTTTAATATCAAAAGTAAACCATTTATTTTAAAATGACTGTCATTGATCTGTTTAACCTGTATATGGCTCTTTATAGGAATCACAATTCACTGTACTACTACATTGTATGCAACACCCGCATCAATAGTTATCATCAGGTAGAAGTTTCATCAATATTTGTTTAGAAAAGGTATACAATCGGCTTTAACTAAATTATCAAATATTGTCCACGTTTGAAAAAAAACTAAGGGGTGCATTAAAAGTATTTTATTTTTTAACAGTTTGTAAAATCTGTAAATCTGTAAAAATCTGTAAAATAATGTTTATGTACTGTATTATTGTTTCAACACTATGTGAAAACATACTGCATATACTGTAACGTTATGTTTTCAAGTTAAGGTTGTAAAAATTCTCTATTTTTTTAGAAATTGTTTCGATCTGCTTCTTTTTCACCTTTCACCTTAGTGTAAATCTGTATTTTGTTTCTAGAGAGTTATATTTAAAGTCAGACTCCCTTATTTGTTTCACATCACATCATTAATTATATGGTAAGCTGTTCTTTAGTGCTAAAGGATTAATAATTTTGGTACATGATAAATTATCGCAATACAAGTACAAATATGTATACAGATTATTTAATTTAGTTATCCATGACATCAAAACATTGACCCTCTCCAAGTCATATCCCATGGTAAATCATGAGACAAATTTAATTCCTGAACACTTCCTCAGAAAAAAAATCATCAGTATCTATCACATCAATGTATCTCTTCCAAAGTTTAACAGTGGTGGGGGGGGGAGGATTCATGCCCAAATTCTCCTCCCAACATACTACACAGAAAATGACACTTTGATGCCATGGATGACCTTGTTGCAAATTCCTTAATATGTAAAAAATAATCATTTTAAAAAATAATCAATTTTTGTTCAAGAATTCCATGTATTTATTTTCTAACCCCTTTACCCAAAGAGGGTTGTGGGGGGAATCAGAGCCTAACTTGGCAAGCAACAGGGCAAGGCTTCATACACACTTTACAGGACACAGACACCCAGAAGCCAATTAACCTACTGTACCAGTGTGTCTTTGGACTGTGGGAGGAAACCAGAGTGCCCAGTGTAACCCATGCAAGCACAGAGAGCACGTACAAACAGCACACAGATAGCACTCCAGGAATTGAACCCATGTTCCCAGCCCTGCGAGGCAGCAATGTAACCACAGTGTGTAAAAATTAATTCTGCCAAAGTTAAGATACAGTACAAGAAGTGGAGAACACTGATTTTGTGGGTTTGAGGAGCAAGTGTACAAGTGTACAAGGATCTTTAAACCACCAATGTAAAGTGTGTGGTAAAGTAAGCTCTTCCTGTCTGATTGAGGTAAGTATGGCGTAACTGCTTTATTAAGGAAAATAAGATGCACCTGTTTTATTTTGTATGGGGGGTTGGGGGGGTGGAACCAGTAGAAGGTCAGGCCTTTGGCCATTCCTCTAGCACTGGCCAAGCAGACCAGGCTTTGAGGTGTGGACATGGGATGTGCTACCTGATACAGTGCAATCCTCTCTGTGAGTCTCTCCTCTGTTTCTTCCACCAGCCCCACGCTGGGGATGCTGCACTCCACTGCCTCCAGCTGTCGGTACAGGGACTGGTAGTCTTCTTCCAGATGGGTCCATGTCTATGACACAGAGACCAACCACATAATAAAAATATTGAGTCTTAGTGTTCATCAGAAATTTCAGGCTGGAGTTCCTTCTCAAGTCTGAGGGTCTGTTAAACTGAATTGCTTTTGTTTCTGCTAACAACGTAAGAACTTAAGAAAGGTTACAGATGAGAAGAGGCTATTTGGCCCATCTAGCGTGTTTCTTAGTTAATAATTTATGGATGTAAGCCTCTCATCCAGGCATTTCTTGAAAGAAATCAGTTCTGCTGAAGGCGTTATTTTCAAAAGTCATCATCATCACTGAATTTGAACAAACTCAAATCAAAGCAGTTTAGCTCAATTTAGCTAAAAGTAAAATTATAGAACTGAACATCTTACTTGCTGCTTCAAAGAATTAGATAAAATTATGCATGTTTCCTGAAACAATCAGACACAAATATACTTTTTGGGGTAGTAGGTGAGAAGAAACCAAAGCACCTGGAGAATACCCATATAACATGGGGAGAACACGCAAAGTTTATCCTGTAGGGGCTCTCATCCACAACTAAATTAAGGAGCCGCGAGCTATGAAGCAGCAGCACTAGAATATACATTTATAATGATGAGATACTACAGCATAGATATTGTTAAGTAACTCCTCACCTCCAGGATATACTCCAGCTCCACCCCTCTCTTGTGGGCGAGTTTCAGCACCCCTGTAGCCTGTGCCAGCACCTCGTTGAGGGACTGACACTCCCTGGGCAAGGCAAAGCTGCTGATTTTCCTGAAGAATGTCTGTGTCAGGATCATATGGGATTCCAATCCCTGGAAAAACTCCTGCAGAAATGACCAACCATTAGACATTGTCATTTTGCTGTTCAGGGGATTACTTCAATTATCCATTCTAATGTAGCTTCCAGTATAACTCTCATAGACACACCACCTGTTTTAGAATTTAGTTCGAAATAAAAAAACTCCAAGTTAGATAAATGGACTGAATGTGAAATATTTCCGTCAACAAAAAAAAAACCCATTAAGATCTGTTTCTTTGCTACTTTGCAAAATGTACCTTGTGTTTGTCCAGATGGTTCTGGACTTCCTCGACAGAGCTGGCTATTTTTTTCTGGTCAGCCGCCATCTTGTCCTGAGCTGTGTCCACCAGGTCAGCCAGGTCTTGGAGAGCCCGCTCAAACTGGCCCTTCAGGGCTAGATTCTGGTTCAGCCCACTGCGGCGTGAGCCCACAGTCAGCACCAGCTCCTCATAGGCATCCTACAACCAACACACAAGCACATGCAGGTCTTGCCTACTCACTCACTATAGCAGTCGGCTTTATTCTACTTAAAAGGCACTGTTTTTGGAGATTTAATGAGACCACACATGACAGCTCTAAACTGAACAAAGAAAGCACTGACAAGAGAACTTTAGGCCCCAAGATGGCTCTGAGTAGTCCCAATTTTTTCATCCCTTAACTTATCAAAATATGTCTGACAAATTCTCACCTGTGCTCTCACACTTTAATGACCATTTGACATGGACCCTGGTGTTACTACTACTGTTGATTACAATATTCCACACATATACAGTACATATACACATATACAGTACACAGTTCTAACATACGTGACAGAATAGTCCGGTACAAAAGGATCCAGTTTTTGGCAAAGGAAGAAGCAATAACATTCTGAAATACCTGGAGCTTGAGAAGCTCTTGAGTGGAAACCTGGTCAGTTTGTAACTCTTCTCCTCTGGATTTGATCTCAGTGATACTTTGTTCAAATTCTTTCAAACCTTCCTCTGCTTCTGCAATAGCCTGGAGGAAAATGAAAAAGCGTATTTAAAACTAAAAAAGAAGTTTAGTATTACAGGAAAATAGGACATCAGAATTACAATTCGTTTTCTTTTTTAATTTAGATGTTTAATTAAGCATTTACAAAACTTCCCCTTTGACATCTTTTATTCCCCATTTTCTATTCTGTCACTAAAAATATCTGGTTCTATGGTGTATCTGCCTTGTTAATAATGATTATAGCACAATCCTATATATAAGAGTCTTCTCATTGTTGAATGGAAATAAAATAGAAAAGTCATATACTGTAGAAGAGTAAAGTACCATTATTGCAACAGTCAGATTTCCTTATGGAAACAAATTTTGTGTCATCATTATGTTTCAGCGTACCTCCATTTGTTTAGAAGCAGGTCGGTCTAGGGCATCTGCCAACTTCTGGAGAATTTGGTATTTACTCTCACTCAGGGCAGTGAAGAGCAGCTTCAACTCCGTCTAGATCAGATACAAGAATTGAAATGATGTCCTTCATTACACATGAAAACAAGAGCCATTATCATCATGAGAACAAAGTGTAATTGCAGTTTGCTTGTCTACCTGATTAAAGAGAAACTGTAGTCCCAATTTCTCAGACCAGTTATTGAATCTCAGCAACAAAATGAATTAATTGATGGTATAGAAAACTTTACAAATTCCAAATCAAGCACAAAATCCTGAACTTTCTGAAAGTACCATGTAGACTTGTATTCTGGCCACAGTTACTGTAATGACTAATGTAATGCGATGTATGAGCAAATAAGACATTTCACAAGTGTCTAACGTGATTTGCATGCAGAGTAACAGGTACAGTAAGTTGTATTTGTTAATAATAATAATAATAATAATAATAATAATAATAATAATAATAATAATAATAATTGCTTATACAGTATAGCACTTCTAGACACTACGCTCAAAATGCTTTATAAGTAATGGTGACTCCCCTCCACCACCAAAACCAATGTGCAGCATCCACCTGGATGATGCTACCGCAGTCATAGTGCACAAGAACGTTCACCACACATCAACCATCAGTGGGGAGGAGAACAAAGTGATGAAGCCAATTTATAGATGGGAATTAAAAGGATGCCATGATTGGTAAGGGCCAATGGGAAATTTGGCAAAGACGCTGAGGTTATACCCCTATTCTTTTCTAGAAATGCCCTGGGATTTTTTAATGACCACAGAGAGTCAGGACGTCAGTTTTATGTCTCATCCATAGGATGGTGCCTTTTTACAGTATAGTGTCCCTGTAACTGTAATGGGGCATTAGGACCCACATAGCCCACAGGGTGAGCGCCCCCTACTGGTCCCACTAACACCACTTTCAGCAGAAACCTTAGTTTTTCCCAGGAGGTCTCCCATCCAGGTACTGACCAGGCTCACACCTGCTGAGCTTCAGTGGGTTGTCAGTTGTGAGTTGCAGGGTGATATGGCTGCTGGCTACAGTAGACATTTTACAAGTTCCTAACAGGATTTCCATGCAGAGTAACATGCATGGTAAGTTGTATTTGTTGGCAAAACTGTCTTGAAGTCGAGAGGAATATTTTTATTGGATTCACATAGATGTATTCACAAACCTGCTTGTTTACAATGCAATAAGGCTGCTTCACCTCACTGGACGTTTTGTTGCTGTGTTCTAGATTGCAGAATATGGCGCTGCATATCGCTGGAAATTTTGTCCATTTTGTGATGTGAATTGAAAGTACTGTGTCCATTTTACTTTCAGTGTGGTTTGAAATGCACTCAATGCCGATTCTTTCTATCCCCCAAGTATAAAAATAGTGTTGCAGTTCCCCTTTACGAGTCCCTTACCCGCAAGTCTAACACTGCCCAGATTAAATTAATATGACAACAACTAATACCTTTTTCAAATGTTTTCAAAATCTTTCATGAGATGCAAATTTAATTTAAAAGAACTAAAACTGGTTTTAAAGCAATCATCAAGATGAAGTGTGTGGATATTCAAGGTCTGTTATTTCCAGGGACAGCAAGGTCCCCCTGACCCCTGATGAAGAGTGCAGGTGAGATGTCTTGCCTGAAAGGCAGTCAGCTCCTGCAGCCTAGCCTTCATGTGCTCGCTCCTCTGGCTGACCACCAGGTCCAATGTGCCCAGACGCTCCTGCAGGCAGCAGAGTGTGTCCTCGATCACCTCCCGGTTCTCGTCACACAGTCCCGCCACTCCTTGGAACAGCTCCTTATTCCTGTCCACCTCCTCTGTCACTTCTTTAATGTCCTTGCCGAGCACCTGCGTTGGCCAGATCACAACACAGAATGCACATTTTAGATTTTGAAATTATGCCAAGTTGTTTTCTTTCTACTTTTATAAAGTACAATTACAGCCTTTAAATCATACTAGAGTGAATAAGATAAATGAACTTGCAAAGAACTGTACAGATGCAATTCTGGTAGATATTATATTGTCTATAATACAAATATTGGTGGGAAAAATCAATTAGGCTATGTACTGTACCGGGCTCCACAGGGGCTAGACCTGTGCCAAACTGTGTAACCGATATAGAGCCTGTGTTGAGCAATAAATTGGGACTTTCTATAATTACGTGTCTGTTATTATACTGGTGTCATCGCCCGCATCAACATTTTTAACATTCAGGTAAAGCTACTTAATAAACATGGTGCATCAACATATACAGTAATAACTAACTTGTTTCTTACCTCCTGATTGCTGAGCTGTGTTTCAGTGTCTTCAGCTAAAAGCACAGGGCCGGCAAAGAGGCTGTTTTCAACCCCGTCCACCCAGGATGAGGTTGCAGAAGCCGCACTGTAGAGCTGTTGCTCCAAAGGTAAGCCCTGCTTCTCCATTCCCACCATCTGCAGGACAAAACCCGACTGAGACTGAGAAATGGCACTGAGACACACAGGGAGGCACAGAAGGAAAAAAGGTCTCTCACCGTACCTGAGAGGAGACTTCTTCAAAGGCTTGGCTGAAACCACCGAACAGAGACTTGACTGATGACTTGTCCTGAGCCTGTGTGTCTCCTTTGAATAGCGGGCCTGCAGACGAAACTCTGCTGGGCCTGCTATAGACCTGTTGAGATGACAACTAAATTAGAAGCTGAAACTGGAAACATGGGATACAAAGCAATGCACTCCCTTGATATACTGTAGTGTTGGTAAAAGTGGGATAAAAATGGACTTAGCATAGAACTTATTCATGGTGGGTTTGTCATATCACTATGTGAAATGTGGCTTGAAATTCTAAGGCAACTTACAGATTCAGACTTACAGACCTTTGCCATAGCAAAGGTGTTCATTACTTGCTGTGTAAATTCCAAATCGTCTCATTTTTCTTAAAGAATTATTTTATTTACATACTATCAGCATTTTTAATTTTACAAGTCTGGAGTAGATTGTAAAGGTAAAGTTGTATTTTACAGCATTGCAACCTAAGTGTGTGGGACGTATGCAGCAAGCTGAATTGTTTTGTAAGGGACTGTATAGGCTTTGTACTTTTAACATTTATATTTTGCTGTGCATAAAATACCATAATAATCACCTTTAAAAGACAATTGTTTTTTTCTAAACATTAGGAAACCTGCTACCCTTCTTACCCTGACCAAGGACTGGTGTGAGATTCTCTTTTTAAGTGATAACTGTGGATTAATTATTAATGATTTTGTGGGTGTAGTTACATTAATCCCGAAATTAAAACTTTTCAAAATAATATTGCTTGGGCTTTGAAAAAGAGAGGAGATGGATTATTGAGTGCCTCATTCCAAAAGCTTTTAATTAGCAATGCATTTTGACTATGTTATCTGAATAAGAAGAATGTATTTTAAAACATGATTTGCTCATGTTTTGCACATAAAAACCTTAATAAGCAAATGAACAAAACCTTTTAGAAAATGACAGTGCTATTATGGCATTTTGTACAGAGTAAAAATATAACTATCTTAAGTCCATATAGATAACAGTAAGATATTAAAAAAATATTTTACAAAAAAGAATATTACCATAAAAAAGGTACAGTATATGTAATATACATTATGTACGAACAGTTTACAGTGTCCGTATACAGTATACAGAGTCTGGTCTTCCCAACAAGAAAATAAGATGGCAATGTACCGGCTGCCTATGGTCTTGCTCTAGTGTGTCCTGCAGAAGCTGCTGTTTGGTGTTGAGTTCTTTGTTGAGACTTTCCCACTTCAGTCTCATCTGCTCCAATGCGACAAGCCTTTCTCCTTCCAAATCCAGCTCCTGGGCAATCACGTTAGGCTTGTCACTGCACAAGGCAAAGAGAAGAGAACATCAGCGCAGTTTCACAGGAGATAGGGTACTGTGGGTAACTGACAGCAGCATTACCACCTTGTAACCTAACCTCATCAAATCTCAAAATTTAAGCCAGACTGACCCTGGTTGGTACTGGAGCGGGAGGGCCCTGAGGAAACCAGGATGCTGCTGTAAGTAGTGATGCTGAAGCACTAGGAGACATTCTTCTCTCTGGACCAACAGTCCCGGGGCACTGCTACTAGAGGCTTCATCTTCCGATGGAAATGTTAGACCGAGGCCTTTACTGCCTCATCATGCAAGATCCCCTGACACTATTAACTCTGTGTTGTGAAGCAGCTTCTCACTTTTCAACATGATGTCTGTGCAGGGACCCCTGGTGCATACTGGCAGCTGTACAGTATGCCACCCAGGGTGGAGCTGGGTCCCTTCCTACAGCTAATGTTAAACATAAAGCTCTTTTGGATGCTTAGAGATGAAAGGCATTGTGCAGCTGAAGGCAACTGTTCTCAAGCATTAACTGGCTCATGGGAGCCCGGGTTACCTGACTCCGTTGGGAGTGGCTTGCTGGGTAAGCAGCTCCTCCCCGCGACTCGCCACCGACTGGAGGAGCTTCTTCTGCTCCGCCAGCTGCTCCTCCAGCTCCTAAACAAGGAAACACAATGGGAATCAAGGCATTACACAAACGGTCCTTTCTTCATAAAAGCGACTTGGCTTCCAAGTAATTTTAATACTTGAGTTCTTAACCTCGCCCTCTCAGGGTTTATTGATAGGTTTAGGATCTTTCTCTTGGCTGGCTTTTCTTTAAGCTTTTGTTTTTCAAGATGTAATTCTGATATCAGAACACTTTTCTAAAAGTGTACAGTACTTACACATTGGAGTCAGAAAACATGAGTCAAAATCTCCCAGTTATACACTCAAGCCTGACATTGCCATGTGACTTTTTTCACAAAATTATTTTCTTAATTCTAATTTATTATTTTCCACAGGAAACTATTTTATTCTGTGTAGCTCCAATGATTCATATTCTTTTTATTGTCATTTTTTAAATGAGTATTAGACTTCAGTCACTAATCAGCTTTTTTGGGCTGTTTACTGATAATGTTACATACACTATATTTCTAAAAAACCTCAAGCAGTTAATGCCAACAATGTAAAATGATCAATGGCATACAGTATAAAGTAGCTAACAATAATAAAAAGCACAAGCACCGAAGAGTACGCCTGCTGAATAAGTTAAAGGTAAGTAACAGCCCCAAGTCTGTCATTCCTGATTAAGTTGGCCTCTGTTTCACTGAAAAGTTAACTGAAATTTATTCATAATTCTTTTCTGTTTAGATCAATACCTTTCATTTACTTGAAACTTTATCCTATTCACTAAACTAAATTTGTCAAAGAATTATCAACCTGAATTATAGATGCATTGTTGGTGTCATTTTTGGGTAATACCAATTTTCTGCAAAACGTATCTCACACAAATTACATGACTGCACTTTACCTGATATGATTAGTCCTTTCTGCTGTGTCTTATAAGTATGATAGTTGAAACACATGTATATATTTAATTAGAAATCATGAAACTCTTCCCAGCCAATGAAATGACCAGATTTCTGAGCATTCTGAAACAGTTCACCTGCATGAGGTGGAACCTGAGGAACCTGTGGAGCCATGTGATGTTAATATGCAAAGATACAGGTCTGTCTCTAATGACTGGCTCAAGATCAGATATTTCAGAGTTAAAAAACATCTTCCTGCAAATTAACTGGAAATTAAAAAAAACCAAGCATTTTAATACTGATTTCTCTTTCAGAAAACATCATCAATACATAAAAACCAAACCACACAAACATGGGCATGTACCTTCTGCCGCTGGATGCTGTCCTGGTACTGCTGGGAGCGAGTGGTCCTGGCCTGGATCAACCAATCCTGGACACTGGGGCTTTGAGACAGGGCAGAGTCCGGCTCACTGTCCTCCTTCTCCTGCAGAGAGCCCTGCTGGGAACAGGCACAACTGATGAGCAGGAGGGCCTGGAAAGCATTTTTTTTCCCACAAAGCACATCTAAGTCGTGACAAAATAAACCATTCCTTCCTCAAACCAGCGTGTGCCATTCTTTTTCTTATTTGCCTTCAAATCGTCAAGATAAGTTCTCTCAAAAATTCACTTTTTTGTTCCACAGACAGCAACACAAATCTGATGAATGTGAGATGTCTAGCTTGGAAATAGCAGACTAGTATCTAATTACACTGCATGGCTGCCAATATAACCGTTTTTATTGAAACAGCCAGTCTGAGGAATAAAATGCATATTTTGTCTGGTATGACACATAGGAAAAAAGACCCCGGGATTTACAGAATAGGGCATCTCACAAAGGAAGAATTCAGATTAGCAATTTGATTGGAGAATCTAATAAAGGCCATCCATTTCATGATCACTGTCAACACTGGAAAGCACAAGAAAATAATATCTTTTCTCATAACACAAAGTTTTTTGCAGAAAAACTATTTAGCCCACCTAACTGAAGTACTATGAGGCAATGATGAGATTTTTTAATCCTGTTTTTAAGTATAAAAAGCTTTTTAATACATGAAATGAAGGAGCAGTAGGTGTTTTATGAAGTGGTCCTATAATAGGCCACAGACTGTTTATGTTTTCATGTATAGCAACCAAAGAGAGCAAATTCTTGGAAATGTGATCTAATTATAGAATAGGATATAAAACTTTGGGTTAGAGAACATCTGATGTTCCAGCTGTTGTAGAGTTTGGAATCACAGGGATTAACTTTAAATCCTACGTTTCAGTTAACAGATAAATGACAATACTCTACCTGTAATACGACCAAGGAAATACAATATAAGAAATACATCCATTCATTATTAGAAAACAGCTTATTCATGGTAGGTGTCGACCCAGATCCTACTCTGGAAGACAGAGCAGCAAGGCAGGATCACACACTGGACAGAACTGGTCAGGATGTGTACTCTATGTCTGCACACACAAACGCCCGTTAGTCAAGCCAGCATGTCTTTGGGAGGTGGGAGAAATCAAAAGCACCTGAAGAAATTGAATACAAACATGCAAACTCCACACAATAGGTGTCTAGTTTGGAACTGAACCCAGGACCCGACATCTACTGTATGCAGAAGCATTAACCACCAGTATATTGAAAGTGATTATACTTCAAGTAATGAACTGAGAAAAAAAAATTCTAATGAAATGAAGTGAAGTAAGGCATTTAATAGGAACTAATTATTTACTATTAACTCATCCAAGAAAAAAAATTTTCATACAGATGCACTGTCTCCTGTGTTAAAGAGATAACAGCTTTAAGAGCACACTTTAGTAATTTAGTAAGGTGTCTTCCCTAAACTAAAGCAAGCTGATCATCTCCAGGATGGCCTTTGTGTTCAATCACAGACATTCATTTGCACAGCACCCGTGAAGGGAAGCAGAAAGAACTGCAGACGATTTCTATCATAACAAGTGAAAACCAAGAAGCAGACATTACATGCAGTCTCTGAGATGCTTTCAGCTCTTCCCATACAACAGTGGCCTGGAGAACAAACAGGGGGAATGCAAACAGATGATGAGCATAACTACAGTACCTACAGTGTTATTAGCTTTCACCTACTGTATCTAGATGAGCACTAATTACATTTACAAATAACAATTAACTGGCATAGATGAAGTACAGCATCTTTATTGATGTAAAAAGAATTCATGATACTTTGTCAAATACATACGGTGATTAATCACCATCATAAATCAGTACTATAAGAACAACATTAGAACCCTTGCAAAGTAAATCATGCAAGGTTGTGTATGAACTCTTTTCCTCTAGCAGTGGCTGAAAGAAAATAAATGCCAGCTTCTGTTGGTTTATGTATTAGATACTTATAATTTACTTACACAGTATTTACTGTTTAACTTGTTTCTAGTTGTTGAATACTGAATACTTCTATGCTGCAGACACTGTACAACTACAGTACGAGACAGGTGTTCCAATTGTTCAGTCACAATGGAATACTTTCATAAGAATAGAAAGATGATCCTTCTTAGTGATTCTACCAACAGTGCCTAATCTTTTGATGTGCTAAAGCTTATACTTCTGTTTATAGAACAAGAGGTTTTTCAGTATGAATTTAACAAAGTAAAATTCTAGCAAAATTCAGCAGGCATCTTGTATATATACTGTATTTGTTTCTGTTTTGGAAAAGACAGCTTTAGTTTTTGCTATTATTTATCATAGCGTCAGAGACTGGAACTTTTAAACATGTAAGCCTAAAATGATATATCAGTCATTTTTAAAACACTCATGGCAATATGGTGAACTCAATAGTGGATTCATATTACAATGTGCACTGTGTTGCATAAATGTACAAGCCTGCCTGGAATTACTTAACAACGTGTTGAGCTTGCAAAAAGTAAGGACAAAACTTCACAACAAAACAGCACCACATTTCACTCAGTTTGATCCAGTCAGAGAAACAAACAAATAGGTTATAAAGTTATGTAAGAAACCAACCAAAACATATACAATGTATATAAATGCAAATAAAACATCTCTCATGTCCACAAACAGAAGAAAAGGAGCTCTTACACTTCTGCAAATTGTTATTGCAATCTTTACAAATATACAGAAAAGCACAGCCCACAGAAATGTGCAAAATGATACACAATATCTCCTGACGTTATCCACTGCAACCGCAGTTTGTGGTTTCTGTGCTGTGTGGAGATTCAGGAATAATCTCCAAGGCTGAAAGAGAGAGCCTGGGCGTCTCTAACTATGCTGAAGGGGGCACTGCCAAGGACGGGCAAGGGGGAAGACAGAGGGCTTACTTGGATGTTGATCTGCTTGTCCTGCAGCATCCTCTGCAGCTCCAGCAGGCTGGCCTTCAGCGTGCGGAGCTTCAGGGCGAGCTGCTCGGCTTCATCCCGGGTGTGCGCTTTCCCCTCCAGCAGCAGGCTCTCGCTGTGCACCGACAGCTCCGACAGGGACAGCACCTTCTGCTCAATCTCCAGGAGCATGTTCTGCAGCAGCAGGAACAGAGACGCAAACTCAAACATGCCCCCGCCAGCCACCGCCACCTGCTGCTCGCCCGGTCACTCAAGTCAGCTTCAGCGGAAGGGCGGTCTGGGGCCTACCTCGGCCCCATCTGACAAGCTCACTAAACACTGGGCTCCTCGCATCCTATGCCAGCAGACTTATATTGTACGTTTTTAAAAGAAGTCCATTGTATTCCCTTCTTTTGAAAAAAAACAACAACAAAAAACGATATACGAGATGGGGAAATAAAAAACAAAATGCAGAAATAAAAATAAAGAAAAGTGAAGATAAGCCCGACAGCCAGGGCTGTGTTTCAGCAACAAGTGTTGCTACAAAAATCCAACTGCCTTATTCATTCAGAGTCTGAACCATGACGTCCCTGCATAATGGCCTCGAACAGATCATTCACAGGCACGCAACCAGCACGGTCTTTCCCCTGATCTGCACCAGCCTTTTGCTTGGATATGCACTTCGTCTATCCTCCCCCCCTGCCTTCCACCATCCAGGGCTAGCAATCCATTGATTAGCTCATGTCGCTATCCCTACCGACCCCGACTCGTGCCGAATAGGCCACAGGAACTCGGAAACATACGCATAATCTTCTTAAGACTCAACAGCCGCTTAACAGTCCAGCCTCCTGAAGAGCTTGCTTATCTTAACTAATATTTTTGTTTACTCCCTACAGTGTGGATTCACCGCATCATCTGTTCTTGTGAAGACTTTGCTTCAGATGTCAGGAGACCAGCAAAGCGGGACAAATGTCAAATTTCCTCAAGCTCTGTGAGCGGCTCATCTGAAAACAAAAGAGGTTATTTCCCTTGGCAACTATTGGGTGGTGTACAAAGCTGGGCAGTAAGAAGGAATGCAGGCTGTGCGAGACCATCACAAAGCCAGAGGGGTCAAATCAGAGGGAGCCCTGAATCGCTTTTCAACTGCTGACTTTCAGAATACACAGGAAACTTGGAAGAAAATTATATTAAAAATATTTTAAGATGTTTCTGCTTATTGTTTTAGTTTGTTTGTCTTATGTTCAAATACATTTTAAAATGTCTGTTATCATACCAATATATAAAATATCACGTTTTCACATCAACAAGTGCACGCGAGTTTTCAAAATTTCTGCCTATTTAAGCCTCTCTGGGAAGTAGAGGTGGAAGTGAACTAGGTCAAATTGGATGCAATCTGAAAATCCAGATCCTTTACTGAAGGTAATATTTTGCTGTGGAATTTCTTTTATCCCTCTTTCTCTCATAATTCCCCTTTGTTATATTCATTCTTTTAAGCTCTTTCTTACTCTTATTCGTTCAGTGGACACTATTTGTTTTAAATCAGGACACAATTAGTAATAGCACAATTCTGGCTAATTTTGATAGTCATTTAGAAGGCTGTAAATGTCAGCCTTCTAAATGGCTATCAAAATTAGGGTCTACATGATGATTCAATGATTCATCAATACGTCTCAATGGGAAACTGATACAAAACTATAAAAAAAGATACAGCAGCATTTAGAATCCTATTCCAAAGCTGTTCCCCACCCCACTGTATTACCTGGCAGTCAGTGAGCTGCTCCTCCATGTCCATCGTCTCCTGGTTGGGCCGCAGAGCTGTGGTCAGAGAGGCCCGGGTGCTGAGCAGCCAGTGGTCCAGCTCATCTGCCTCGCTGTGGTACCGCTGCAGGGCCTGCTCCTGTCTCTGCTCCTCCAGCTGCTCATTGAGCCGTTCCTGCACACCAATACACTCCATGAGCACGGAGACCACTCTTGCCCCGCACGGCAACAAGACCTTAACTCAAGGTAACCCAAGAGGAGGATAACAAAACTTGATAGGGTTTATACAGAGTACAAAGTGTTTCATACCTGGTTATCCTTGTGACTCAGTGCTACTGTAGCTATAAAATAGCAAAACAGTTTTCATTTCAAATCATTTACCCAAGACTACATTTGTCAGAGACACTGTGATAAATTACTCAGGCTTCCTTACCACAGAGAGGTTCTGTGCTAAAATATATGGGCAGAAAGATTTCAGTTCTCTGTGTTCTCTTTGATCTTCCAAACACTGAAAACATGGTAGAAGACTAAGGAAGCTCGCAGTATGTCTAGTTATGAGACCACAGTGTGCAGCCCCTTCCAGAATGTTTGACTCATTTCCTCAGAAGTGTGCCACAATGCTGAGTCAACTCATCGAGGGGCTCCAAGGATAGAAGGGCTGCCCAGTCAGTGATGTCACTGTGTAAAATACTAGGTTCATATGAAGAGAGTTCCTCACTTTCCTCTTCAACAATGCCTGAGTGTATCCTATTTTACTGTTCATTTCTTATTTAGTTGGTGCTTATTTTCACATTGTTTCAACAGATAATTCTGGAATATTTTTTTTTTAAAAGAAAGAAACACAAACACGAGGTGCGTAGACTTGTTAAAAACATGAGAGACATTAAAAATTGCTTTAAAAAAATGTCTACCGCTTCTTTTTCTGACACAGTGTGGAATTTGTCTCTGTAAAACAGCAATGCCAAAATGCCAAAGTGGAAAAAAAAACAGCCATTATCAGAATTCTGCTTATTCCTGGTAATATCAGCATAAATCACAGCAGTGCCAGAGACACCTGTATGCATTATTCTGAAGAGGACTCTGACAAGTTAATGAGATAAGAGGCAATGAAAGACACGAGAATTTTACAATATAGACAGGAACAAAAATCTGAATCAATCGAAAACACAAATTAATCCCAGATTTTGAATGAAACATCACCTCAAGAAGCTGACGCTTTCCTGATGCCTTCATGCGGATGGTGGCCATCCTCTCAGCCAGCACGGTCAGCGTGGACTGCATTGCCAGCTGGTCAGCAGTATCCGTATCCAGATTGTCAGCCACCAGCTCCTCAGCAAAGCATGTCTGCAACTCATTGATCTCATCCTGGAGCATCAAGATCTCGTCCATTAGGGCCTGTGCATGATAAAGCCAGTTAAAGAAGAAAAAAATGTTTTAAAACAGAGAGGATTTCAGCTAGATTAAACTGTTGAAAACTACTGATATATACAGGTAACCGTATATAACAGATTTTTGTGTATTAATGACACTGTACGTTTATTAGTACCTTGCAAAATGGATAGGATGATAAAATAGTAGGTTTATTTTATAGGGAATGTACTTATCCATTAATGGATATGGATATTTATGAAACATTGGGATGTTTAATAGTCTTATCCTATTAAATTCTTCAAGAAATTGTGAAACAAGATCGATGCCAACACTTCTTTCAAATAGTTTCTTTAGTAAAACTCTTGTAGTGCAAAAAGACCTTACAAGAGGCTTTCTTTAAAACCATAAAAGGAATTAGAGACAAATAACTTAATCCAACGTAACAAAACCGGAACTAATGATGTTTCCTATATTATGTTTGAATACATTTCTGTTTCCATGATGACATTATCTGCAGATGTTAAAAATGCTTTTTAAATTTATTTTCACTTAATTACATATAGCAGATTAAAAGAAGGCCCAGGGTGAGTGAGAATTAAGTTCTTTAGTCAATTCAATAAAAAATGGATAACTGGTTGAAAATCAAAAAGTATAGGCTAGCACACACTTTTAAATTGATAAACAACCCAGATTTTATTTCATTGCAGTATGAAATCTTATATGCCTAAACCATATTGCAAAATGCCAAAAAGTTAACTACAGTACATAAATTAAGATAATTTTATAGAATATTACATACTACGGGACCTGGAGTTATGCCTTGCTAGAGAGATGAGCTCAATCTGAAAGTTGTCTGAACAAACACAGGAGAATACAGGAGCCTTGCAGAGCCATCTTCGGGTGTGGACCCATTTCCACTGTGGAGCCTACCGGACCCACACCTGAAGAAGGCTCCACAGCGGAATCGTTGTGTTTCTTTTTTTGTCTTTTCAGCATGGAATAAACCTTTACTTGTTCCTCATAAGTATGATTATGTGTTACGTAGTACAATGATTTTGAACCCCTGGAATTTTCATATCATGCTCCAATTACCTCATTTATAGATCTGAAAAACCCGTCCAACTCTCTACAACAAATGACTAGCTGTTTTACAGAGAATATTTGTGTACTCTTGACATCCTGGAGGAATGACGTCATCCAAACAGACTGCATATTCTCATGAAGCCTTGCTACAGATAAATGCTTTCTTTTCAATGAAAACATCACTTTGCCATAATCTGTAGATGGGGATCATTCTGTCATAGTCTGAGAAAAGCATGTACACTAACACAAGTAATTAGTCTACAGTACTTTATCATCCTGCAGGACAAGTCTGTTTTAAGATTTTGGAATGAAGTATGACTATTTGAAGTTTGACAGAGTTCATTACTTTAGTGTAACAATATCATATATAATAGGAAAACAATACTGATGTATCACCTGATGGGCAGCCATCTGGCTCTCTGGAGTCTTGTCATCCTTCAGTGCTTCATTGAGCTTGACTTCAACAGATTCCATCTTGGTAGAGATTGATTGAAGTGAATCCTGGTACTTCTGCTGTCGCTCGAGAGCTTCGTACAAAGTCCTCTGCTTTTCACTGATCTGAAAACAGCAAAGCTAAAATCAAATACCCTTTCAATCTGTCAGATGAAAAGATGTCAGAAGCTCACTTTAACAGAACTGCAGAAAAACAAGACTTTTATTGTGATCAGGGCCAGGGGCCATTTAGAGACAACTTGTCTCTATAATTATGAATTTGGGAACTTGAACTGTGTTTTTCATTTGTCAAGTGATTTGTGGTTTTAAATATATCTGAACAGGAGTAATACATTAAATAAGAGAAACCTAATACCTCGAAGTTAATCATACTGTACTAATTTTCTGTTATGCTGTACAGATTATTTTCCCCCAAATCATTTATAAATGTTCAGAAAACTCCGTAGTAGTCTTGTCTTGTACTGTAGTGAGGAAATTGAATTACATGCAGTTGTCAAAAAAGTAGTGATGCAAACTACTTTGGAATAATTCAGAGAGATGTGAATAAAAGAATTAGACCAAAGCCATGATATCAGAGATCACATCAAGGTTTCTGTCTCTTCAATGCCAGGCTCTGGTGTCTGTTCAGGTCACTTACCACATTCTTAAGGGTCTCCCATGAGCGCTGCAGGTCGTCCAGATTGGCAACAGCAGCAGACTCCAGTCCTGCCTCGTACAGCTCCGGCGGAGGCACTTTGCTGGGCTGAATCTTACCAGCTGCTGTCTGCAACTGTTTAGCAGATAATGCTTGACAATAAGTAATGTCCTATAAGCATGAAGCACAGCACTGCACTTTCAGATGAACTAGAAGAGAGGCTTTCGTTCTATGCATTTCATCTAAATTTGTATATAACACAGCCCGTAAATCATGCCTAATCACTAAGTTTCTAAGTTTGCACATTAGGACAATGGAACGTGATTGTATCTGCTCTGTTCACCCAATTTCTCATAGCAAGGTGGATGCTTAAATTTTTCTCAAATTTAGTTTTATAGCTAGTAGTATCTAAAACCAAGATATTATCACACTGCTGAAGATGAAATGTTATTTATTCAAGTACTTCAACCAGCTGAGATCACACAGTATGTAGAGCAAGATCTTAAATATCAAGAGTCAAAACATCAATTTATCTGTGGCAAAAAGTCTGTGAAGGGTAAGTGGTAGATATCTTAAGTAAA